ACTTTTCTCAAATCCTCTATCATCAGCCCCTGGACCACAGGAATTGAATACTCCATCCTTGTCCATATGAAATACTGGTTGTGTGCAGAACTTACAGTCACACTCTTTGTGCCGTAAAACAGTTCCCAAACCCTACCAAGTTACAGTTTGGATGAGCAGGAAATGTAGTTGGGGTGTGACAAGGCAGGAGCCTATGCTGGGCCCTCAGATGACTGAGTGTAGGGGGCGCCACTTCCAGTCTTTCGGCCCCCAGGGGGTGAGGAGGATACAGGGTGCCTGGCTGGATGCTCAGGAACCTTCTCCACACCCTTCCTTGTGTTGCAGATGAAGATGCCTTCCAAGAAGTGTGCACACATCCCTGTCTACACACTCGGTTTTGAGAGTCTTCAGAAGGTGCCAACTACCAAAGCCATGCCAACACTGAGGAGAGATGCCTTCCAGTATGTTCTTTTTTTTTTTTTTTGGTTTTTCGAGACAGGGTTTCTCTGTGGTTTTGGAGCCTGTCCTGGAACTAGCTCTTGTAGACCAGGCTGGTCTCGAACTCACAGAGATCTGCCTGCCTCTTCCTCCCGAGTGCTGGGATTAAAGGCGTGCGCCACCACCGCCCGGCTCCAGTATGTTCTTTTGCACTGTTGCTGGTATCCTGTGGCAGTAGACAATTGAACGTAACTGGGAAACTAGGGCAGGTGTCTATGGCACTGTGAGGATTTCCCCAGGGAACAAGTCATTTGGCAGGGCTCTAGAGGCAGGGTTGTAGGGAATTGGGTTTGGGTGGTCTGGGCTCAGGACCTCAGTGCCCGTCCAGGAAGAACCTTTGCAGGGATGCACACTGCCAGGTGCGCTCAGTAAGACGCCTGTGGATGAGCCATGAGGAAGGAGAGAAGAGGCAGCAGGGAGCTTGGAGGGATCACTGTGGACATAAAAATCAAGATTTGGGATTCTGAAGTGGCAGGACAAGCCCTCTGGAGGACCCCGACTGTAATAGAGTCCTCTCTTCTCATGGTTCTCTCCTGGCATCTTTCCATCCTAGATCCCTGCAGGGACCAAGATGGCGGAGCGTAGAGGAGGAGTTCCCCCACATCTATGCCCATGGCTGTGTTCTCAAGGATGTCTGCAGTGACTGCACCAGCTTCGTGGCTGATGTAGTATGCTCCAGCCGCAAGAGTGTGGATGTCCTCAATGCCACTCCACGACGCAGCCGCCAGACCCAGTCCCTCTACATCCCCAACACCAGGACTCTCAACTTGCAGTGACTGTTGTGATGGTCACCCTGCTCCCCACCCTGGGACACAGCTGCCATCAACCCCCTTGCGCATGTACATATATACATATAGACACATTTATAATATATATACAGCCTATATATTTATATTTATATACATTGTCTCTTTGCCCTAAAGTTCATTTAGGGCCAAGCTTACTCCAGGACCTTCCTTCTTTCCTCTCAGGAATCCTTGGAAAGGCTGGGAGGGACTGGGGAATGGAGAAAGGGCAGCTTTCCTGCTCCATGCCTTGGTTCTCTTGTAGTGAGCTTATGGCAGCCTCTCTTCCCTGGGTGGACAGGGCACCTTGGTTCTCAGGTGAACCTGAATATCAGGCCTACCTGTCCTTTAGGGTGCTCAAGCAGCAGAGACACCTGGGAGGCCTCCAAGTTTCTGGGATTGTGCTATGAGGAAGCCCAGATACCCCAAGCCAAGCTTGCTCCTGGCCCCTTTCTGGCACTGTGTGACTTTTCCTGGGGACTTATGAACAAACATCTATTCCCCCTGCATAAGTCACCCACAGACGAAAGAAATGATTGCACTCAAGTCTAGCTTGATGAACCAATGAGTCTTCTGAGATTACAGTAACATGGTGAGGGGTCCCTTACAAGAACATAAGTGACTCTTGGGTAGTTGCATCACCCCAAAGCCCTACCCCAGCATAGGTGACAGTTCATGAAAGGTGCTTCAATGTAAGTCACACCCCCAACCAGTTTTCCTGTACTGAGACCATGGTGTAGCTGTGGTGGTGGGGGGTTGGCCGGAATCTCCTGTGAGGGCCTGGTGACCTGCTTCCTACCAGGTTAATAACCCTATAACCATCACCAGAGACCGTCATACCTGCATACTGTGTTATCTGCTTCACTGCCAGAGTTGCAGGCCCATGTGCTCTGCAGGTTAGCACAGCTGCACGGTGCTGATGGTTATGTTCATTAAGCCCAGAGGAAATACCTACGCGGGACTCAGGAAGGGCTGTGCTAAGCACCCTGCCTGCTTACAGGCACCCAAGAGGTGGGGTTTTGTCATCACCACACCTTACAGATAAGGAAACCGAGGTTCAGTAAGGTAAAGGGATTTGACTGCTTATCTCAGAAGATGCCAGAATTCCAACCGAAAGCCTGTTAACTGAACCTTCCTGACTGCCTCCAGGCTCTGACACCCTGCTTAAGGCTAGAAGAGGCACCAAAGGCACATGACTGTGACAGATGGCTCTGTGGGTGTTGTCTTTGAAATTAGAACACCCAATAAAAGCAGCTAGCCCTCAGCACATGTTCGAACACTTCATAGGCTGCCTTTGTATATTGTCTTCTAGATTTTAAAAGACATTTATGTTATGTGGGTTTTTTGCATGAATTTTTGTGCACTATATTCATGTAGGAGCTATCAAAGTGGAGCTGCAGGCAGTTGGGAATAGCCATGTGGGTGCTCAGAATTGAACTCAAGTCCTCTGTCTGTGCGGCATCTTAACCATTAGGCCGTCTTTCCAGCCCTTTGTTTTGTTTTAAAAGAACAGGCAGAGAGGGTCAGGAATTACTACTGACACTCAACAAGCAATAAAAACACCCACGTTTAACCAAGTATGGAGGCTATTAGAATCAGGAAGAGCATTAATTTGAGACTCATCTGGGCTACATAGCAAGCTCTGGAGAAGTCTGAGCTATATTGTGAACTCTCAGACAAGAAAACACGCAAGTTTATGTAGTGCTCTTCAGGACAGCCACTCCTAGGAACTAAGTACAACTGCTAATATACAGATGCGAAAGTAGCCACATATCTATCTCACACTCCCAAACACAGCCCCCCAGGTTCTGATCTCCACATTAACACAAATGAAAGCAACAAAAGCCCATACTGGAAACAGCTAGGCTGAGCTGAGGGATAATGCTTACAGGTTGTACTGTTCCCTACACTTGTTTTCTGAGGCTGCTTAGGCAGGAGAGCACTGTGTGCTTCTGTCTTACTGCCCATTGGGGTTGCTGGTCTCTTCCAGAACAGTCGGCTGCACATCAGCCCACTGAACCAGCCTCAGCCTCATCTGTTGGATACTAGGTCAGAGTGGCTCAGAGCCGAGATCTCCTGAAGGACCAGATCTGCAACAGTTCAGGGAGACACAGTTAGAGCTAGTGGTTCAGGGAAGACCGACTCCCAGGTTGGGTCTGATGCATCCTTCAGTGTTGACAACCTCTCCCAGGAGAAGCGGTTCCAGACTGAGAGTTCTGGGTAAGTTGGTCACACCACTCGATCGCAGATAACACAGAAACTAGCCTGGTGCTGAACACTCAAAACAGACGTGAAGATGGTGTGCTGAGCCTGATGTGGAGGAGGCTGGGACTTTTAACTGTGACTAGAACCAGGGAAGGGGATGTGGGGTGACACCCTGAGACAGCAGCTACAGGACATCAACTTTGAAGTACCTTGAGATTCTTGCATAGTGTGGGCAGAGCAGCTAAGCCAGTCTTTGGACTCAGGATTCAACCTAGGGAGAGACCAAGATTCCCAGGGGAGGCAGGCTGGCGTGGAGCTCATGGACAGTGGGGTCACAGCAGAGCTGGAAATAAGGGATCTGCCCTGCCCACCTGTCCTTGCAAATAGCCTACTTTGTTGGGATTTGGGAAGTCACATGAAGGGAAACCCAGGTTCTCTCTGGGCTACTTACTCATTAAGTCAGTTTCTTCACCTGTAAAAGGATATCTATCTCTGAAAATAAGAATCTAGAACAGTGACCGGCTTGGCCCAACAGTGAAGGCTGTCCCTCCACTCACAGTGTCCTCTCCTCTGCTCCCAAGGTGGGAAAGGGTCCGACCCAACACTAGTTTATTTTACATTTGTACTTTGGAGGTCCTCAATCCTGGCTTGTCTAGGGAATTTTTTTTTCCAAAGTATAAAAAACTGGGCCTAAACATAGCACAGTTTTGTAATCCCGGACCTTCAGAGGCAGAGAATCCCTGTGAGTTCAAGGGGCAGTGTGGTCCACATAGCAAGCTCCAGGCCAGTCAGGGATACACAGCCAAGATCTTCGGTGTTTTGTTTGTTTGCTTTCTTTTGTTTTTCAGAGACAGGGTTTCTCTGTGTAACCCTAGACTGCTGGAAATCTGTAGACCAGGCTGGCCTCTAACTCAAAGATTCGCCTGCCTCTGCCGCCTGAGTGCTGGGATTAAAGGTGTGTGCCACCACTGCCCGGATCTTTCTTGGGTTTGTTTTATTTTAAAGAAGGAAAGAAAGAAAACAGAGCCAGATCTGTGCAGAAGGTCCCTACATCCTTATTGTGAAAACCTTCCTGAATTAGAATCCACACTACTCCTCACCCAATACCACCAGAACACGAGCCAAAAAAAAAAAAAAAAAAAAAAAAGCAACTCCTAGTGCCTAACTCGGTTCCGTGCATCTCAGAGAGGAGCTATGCAGGAATCTGTCTTGACGATGTTCCTCGGCCTAGACGGTTTATAAAGGCGGAAACCGTCCCTTTGCAGTCTAGTAGCCATGTGGAGGTGGGGACCATCGGACAGGTCGCAAGGGTAGGCTACGCAGACACGGGCTCCACGGTCCCATCTTCGCACGCAGACGACAGCAGTGTGCGTACCTGCTCCCATTCCTCCTCACCTGGCCCCACCTAACCAACCCCCGCCCCCACGCCGCCCGCCAGCCCCGGGAACCACGTCAGTGGCGTGGCGTGCGGCGTTCTGAGCCTGCGCGTTCCCGTCCGCGTCACAGCCTGCTATCTGCAACCCATACCCCTCGGAAGCCGAAGAAATACTGCAGTACGGTCGGCGCCCGGCCGCCGCCAGGGCCCAACTCTCGCGAGAACTCTCAGGGCCACCCTCGCACCTTCTCGGGCTGCACGGGTGATTGGGAGGAAGTTCCGGAGAGCCGCTGCGCACAAACGCGACACGCCAACCTTGCGCCAGCGCGCCGCAAGTGCGCAGGCGCCGCCGCTAGCCTGCTCTTCCTCGTCCCTCTGCCTACATCAGGCTGTCGGGTCCTATGTCGCGCCGGGCCCTCCGGAGGCTGAGGGGGGAACAGCGCGGCCAGGAACCCCTAGGGCCCGACGCCTTGCAGTTTGTCCTCCCAGATGACGATGACGCGGAGGAAGAGGGACCAAAACAAGGATCGGGTGGCCGGCGCCCCGGGGGCGCCGGGAAGGAAGGAGTCCGTGTCAACAACCGGTTCGAGCTGGTAAGGAGCTGGGCAGCCAGAGGGGACGGGGTGGGGGGCATGACGTCATACGAAGGGGGCCTAAAGTTGAGTCTAGACTGCAAGCGAGTGGGCGGAGTGAAGGGACTGCGCTGCATCGGGGAAGGCGGGTCTTCGGGAGGGTGGGTGGGGTGATGAGGCACTGCTGCGGAGCCTGTCGGGGTGGTGGCGAGGGGCGGGGCTCCCCGGCCGAGATCGAGTGGAAGGTGGGAGAAAATGCTGAGCGAAGGGGCTCCTAAAGGTTGCGGGGAGGGGGAGCGGGATGCTGTCAAGGGGTTGAGTGACAGGACTTCGCTGCAGGATAGGGCGTGTCTCCGGCCAATGTCTAGAAGCGTGGTGTGACATAGGGGCAGGACCGGGCCATGACGTCAGGGCGGGAGGGTCATGACCTCTGAGATAGCTAAGGGGAGGGCCCGCAGGGTTGGTGAGTGGAAGGTGGGGTTCAGTTGTGTCTAGGCGTCAGTGAAGGGGTAGGGTTGTGCTATCTAGGGGGAGTGCTGTACAGCGGTAGGCATGGCTTCCTGTCAGCCTCTCGAGGGGGTCTCGATTCTAGCTCTTGACAAACATCTTGGTTTATTTGCCACAGCACTTCTGTCTGTCCCAGCATTTGTACCTAACTCATCCTTTGCGGCAGGTGTCTGACGCAGTAAATGTGTAGCACTCGAGTCCCATAATGTTCTTCTTTGAGGCTGCCTGACCTGTGTCTGCAGTTTCCATATGTGCATGAATTATGATTCTGGCTTCATGTGTGGGCAGATAATATGTCTGTCTCAGTCGCTTAGTGTCTCCAGTGTGCACATATGGTAAGGCTTCAGTGGCCATTTTTGAGTGAGTGAAAACTTGTCTGGAAGTCCTTTGTAATAACCTTGCAGTGGGTTGTCCCCTGCTTTTATCGATTGGCAGGTTTAAAAGTCCATATACAAAGATATTGAGGAGCGTGGGAAATGTCGTAGAGATTTTAGGAGTTTGATTCAGAGATCGTTCGCCTCTCCAGGAAGGAAGGAGAGGGATTGATGTACAGTCTGTGGTGGTAGTGGGACTGAAGCCTCCCCTTGTTCTGGCGGAACTCCTCCTCTGATTTTCAGCCTGAACGTAGCTCCGCTTCCTTTTGTTTCTTGTTCTTGGTGCACAGTCATATAGGCAAAACACCCATACACATCAAAATAAACATTTTTTTAAAAGATACACACTAAAGCATTAACAGTGCCATCTTCAAAGAAGCAGAAGCATGGTGGCCTTATCTTATAAATAAAAAATAAAATAGGGCTGGAGAGATGGCTCAGTGGTTAAGAGCATTGACTGCTCTTCCAGAGGTCCTGAGTTCAATTCCTACCAACCATATGGTGGCTCACAACCACCAGTAATAAGATCTGGTGCCAACTTCTGTCTGCAGGGACACATGCAGGCAGACCATTGTATGCATAATAAATAATAAAAAAAATAAAGGGAAATACAAATCCCTCTTATGTGCCCGTGGCCCAGTTCCCAGTTACATTCATTCAGTCTGCATGTCTTACTCGCTCCCTTCTCTCCACGAGATGATTTTTAATCAGATCTCGGACATCACATTCTTCTCCTTTAAGTGAGTCTTCCTCAACATCCAGATTCCTCCCTTGGCAGCAACTGGTGTTAGCTCTCAGACCTTGGGTGTCTGAGACCATTGGCCCTGAAGATTTTACAGCTCTCTGGAACTCTTCCTCTGGTGATCAAGGCTTGCATTTTTTCTTCCCTGGCTCTTTCCAGCTTTCTACCTTTAGCCTCAGTTCTCTGCGTGTGCCTCCCTTTGTTCCAACGCCCCCCCCCCCCCCCCCCCCGCGTCTCTTGAACTGTTCACCTGCCTCTTTTTTAGGTGGCACGTCGCTGGCTGCCTTGCCGCTTCTGGAGCCCAGGCTGGTCACTGCTCAGCTGCTTCTTTCTCTGTATTACTGGCTTAGCCCACATAATTGAAGTAAGAAAGAAAAAGGGCCGAAGAAATAACTGGTTTAGAGCCCTTGTTGCTTTTCCAGAGGACTTGAGTTTGGGCTCAGGGGATCACCTACAAAGCAACCAAGACTGTGATAGTAAGAACCGAATACAAACTGAAACACTATTTCTGACACTGCACCTTTAGGAGGCTGAACAATCAGCTGTGATCACAGTTTTTTCAAATCCTCTGTAATGTACAAAGGAATATTGATATATATTGAATGGATAGTCTGCCTTGCTGTTGGATGGACAGTTCTGTTCCTCAAGGCACTGCGGAAGAATTCAACAATTGCCAATTAGAGAATCAAAATGCTCCATCATCCTCCAAAGTCTTTGCATAGTTATAGGAAAACTAACATCAGAATTTGAAGAAGTTTTAACATTCATACTGATTCTACCCAGTTTTAACATTGTCTAACGTGTACAGCGTCTTCAGCTCCAGGTGCACAGGAGACTTCATTACTGCTGTTCTCTACACTCTGTTCTGAATACACAGCTGATAGCTCTCCCTTCCCAGCAGTTGTCAGGAGCCAGGTTCGTGCAGGACAGTTCTCCCCCACCTCATCTTTTTCTAATCTTGCTCACTGTGTTCCAGCCACCCTGACCTCGCTGTGCCCCCTGTCCCCGGCTGCAGTCTTCTTTGTTGATATGCTCACATAAGACTTACTCTCGCCTCTCGTGGGCTTGCTTAGGTGTTATCCTTCTGGTTGCATCTCCCCTTACAACCAGCCTCAGCCACATTCCTTTGATTCTGTGTTTTGATTTTTCTTTCCTTCCCCCCGGCACGTACCTACCACAAGCACACTATATTCTTGTGTGTTTGCTGATTGTTTTCCACTGCTGGAATAGAAGTTTCTTGGAAACATAGACTCTCTTGCTCACTGATATACCCCCGCTGCTCAGGATAGTGTCTGGCATCCAACATGCATACCAATCTGTGATGATTTTAATAAGACATGCATGCAAGGCTGTGGAATCAGATGCAAGGATGCTCTTGCTAACTCGTAGGACTGTCATGAATACTGCATAAACTCATGGGTGCAGTGTGTAGCATATGCTGGGCATGGATCAGCACTCAACAATGCAGAAATGTGCTGTTGGAAATGAAGGGGACAAAAGCACTCTAGAAACTTTACTGTAAGTGGTTTACTTGGATATATTCTTAGGGGTTGATAATGTCTTCTTTGGAGAAGGAAGCAAGGTAAAGACTTTACATTAGAAATCATCTTTATTATTTCAGTCAGAAGATGTTTCCTCTGTGTAATAGCTCTAACTGTTCTGGAACTAGCTCTGTAGACCACGCTGGACTCAAACTCACATCCACCTGACTGTGCCTCCTGAGTGCTGGGATTAAAGGTTTGTGCCACTACTGCCAGGCTCAATCAGAAGAATTTTTAAAAATCAATTTATTGCTGAACATGGTAGCACATACCTTGAATCTCAGCACTCAGGATTTCTGTGTTAGAGGGTAGTTTGACCGTATATTAAGTTCCAGGCCAGCCAGGGCTACTTAGTGAGACCCTGTTTCAAAGGAGGGGGGGGGGATCAACTTATTCAAGGTATATAATAAAATATATCTACTTGCAGCATCTAGTATGTATTTGACATTTCCAACTGTGTGAATTGTTCATGCTTTAGACGTCTGGTATGTGCTCACTTCTCCTGGCCCCTTGCTCAGAGCACACTTGTTTTGAGTATTCCTGGTTTGCTCTTTCTTATTGCTGAGTACTAGTATGTTCTGTTCAGTGATGGGGATTGAACCTAGGGTCTTGTGCATGCTAGATCTGCCTGCCTATTCCTCCTAAGTGCTGGGGCTGGGATTAAAGGAGTACACCACCGCCACACGCCTTTTTTTTCTTTTCTTTTTCTTTTTCTTTTTTTTTTTTTTGAGATATGGTTTCAACTGGGCCATGGTGGCCCATGCTTTTAATCCCAGCACTAGGAAGACAAAGGCTGTCAGATCTCTGAGTTTGAGGCCGGCCTGGTCTACAGAGTGAGATCCAGGACAGCCGAGACTACACAGAGAAACCCTGTTTTGGGGTGGGGGCAGGCATAGGGGTATGGTCTCCTGGGCATGGTGGCACATGCAGAGGCAGGCAGATCTCTGTGAGTTGAGGCTAGACTGGTCTACAGAGTGACTTCTAAGATAGCCAGGGTCACATGTAGAGATTCTGTCTCAAAAAAGCAAAAACAAAAGTGTGTGTGTGTACACTCTATATATAGATATATTATAATGTATACATACAGAATGTGTAAATGTTATATTTTTATTATGTTTATATTTGTAATATATAGAGAGGCTATAATATATACTATATGTATAGATATATTGTTTCTATATTTGTATTATATATATATTTTAAATATTTATTTACTTATTATGTATACAATATTCTGTCTGTGTGTATGTCTGCAGGCCAGAAGAGGGCACCAGACCCCATTACAGATGGTTGTGAGCCACCATGTGGTTGCCGGGAATTGAACTTAGGACCTTTGGAAGAGCAGGCAATGCTCTTAACCACTGAGCCATCTCTCCAGCCCCTTGTATTATATATTTTATAATATTATATATAATACAAACTATTATATATTAAATATACTTAAGTATGTTTTTATAAAGAAATATCACGTTATACCTGTACACATGAATATAATATAAAATATAGATATAAATAACATTATAATATATATATGTATGGTCTCTATATAATATATATTATATATATTTGTTTGTATTGTGTGGGAGCCTAAGAGATGGCTCAGGTGTTAGGAGCACTGGCTGCTCTTCTAGAAGTCCTGAGTTCAATTCCCTGCAACTACATGGTGGCTCACAACCATCTATAGTGGGATCTGATGCCCTCTTCTGGCATAAAGTTGTACATGCATATAGAGCTCTCATGTACATAAAATAGACCTTTTTTTAAAAGTTGTATATACTGTATGTGTGCATATATATATGCACATGCATATAGACTCGAAAGAACAAGGACAACAAACAAAATTAACTTAAAAAATTGACTCAGTTGGGTGTGGTGGGAAGAAGGTTGATAAGAGTTCAAGGCCAGCCTTGGCTTCTTAGTGAGACTCTGTCTTTAAAAAAAAAAAAGTTGGAACCAGGCATGGTGCTGCATGACTTTAAAGATGGATCTCCGAGTTTGAGGCCAGCCTGGTCTACAGAGTGAGTTCCAAGACACAGAGCTACCCAGAGAAACCCTGTCTGAAAAAAAAAGTAGCTTTTTGGTGCACATTACAGTAATTTTATTATATTAGAACAATATGTAAACAATATATAAATCTTTCACCAACCGCATATAAACCTGAATGAGCATGACTTTTCCCTTACGTGAGGGGAAAATTCATGTGACTGTCTTTTTGACACTGGTTCCTACTATGGGGCTCCCAAGGCCACCTTGCAGGGTTAGTAAATAGTGAGAAATAAGAATTTTGTTGTGTGGCTTACGTCAGGGAACACGTACAGAGTGTGCAAGGACAGAGCGTGGACAGAGGGAAGTACCAGAGGCCGTGCTTGCTCTATCGACCAGGTGGGCCTCCAGTCCTTCAGATGTCCATGACCGTGTGCGTGAAGCATTCCCAGCCGGGGAATGTGACCTGAGTTTCCATGTTCAGGTTCTTTGTCTCTTTTTGGCATGGGGGTTGCAAGATGAGCTGGTTCTGCAGTTTGCTGGTGGAGTTCCTTGAATGGGGCTTTACTGTGTAGTTCACTTAGCTGACCTGGCTCTGCGGTGCTTCTTGGAGGATGAAATAGTGACTTTGGATACCCACATTAGATCATGTTGCTACCACGTGACTTGGCCTCAGGGCCCCTGTAAGTCCTTTGGTCAGTGTGGATTGAATCCCCAATGAAGACGACATTATTGTGGAGAATGACCAGAGGCTTGCTTAGATGTTAACTGCCCAGAAACCAGGACAGAGGCTAGGCCTTTGTTTGGATGGGATTCAGTTTATTATTATGTATCTATAAAGTGGAACTAAACCTTCTCCCCCGACCCCAGACAGGGTTTCTCTGCGTAATAGTCATGGCTGTCCTGGAACTAGCTCTGTAGACCAGGCTGACCTTGAGCTCACAGAGATCCTCCTGCCTCTGCCTCTTGAGTGCAGGGATTAAAGGTGTGCCTTACCACTGCCTGTTGAAGGTGAAACTAAATTCTTACTGCCACACACAGTGCGTTCAACAGCACGAGGGTAATGAGAGGCGTGTTCATTTTTTTAAGGTTATTTTTATGTGTGTGTGTGTGTGTGTGTGTTGCCTGCATGTATGCCTGTGTATAACATGTGTGCCTGGTGTGCACGGAGGCTGGAATGCTGCATTGGATCCCTGGACTGGAACATGGAAGATTGTAGGCAGACTTGTAGGTGCTGGGACTCAAACCTAGGTCTTCTGGAAGAGCAGCCAGTGCTCTTGGCTGCTAAACTTTATGTCCTCTAGCCCATTCTCGTTGTTTTTTGTCCTCTGCCCTCCTGAGGAATCATTAGCAAGGTTTGCAAGTGAATATTCTGTGAGGAAAGAATGTGTTAGTGTTCTATTTGTGAACAATCAAAGGGAAATATCTGTGATGTTTCCAGACGTCTCCTCAGTTCTGCCTGTACATAGATAGCTGCTATTCCTGATTTTCAGGTACATAATCACTCTCCGGAATGAAGAGTTCTGCTGGATTCCTTCTGCCAATTCAAAAAGTAGCTTCTCTTTTAGCAGCCTGTCACAGGCATTGTGGTACCTTGTCTGGCAAGTCTAACAGACTTAAAAATAGTTTATTGAAGCTGGAGATGGCTCAGTGGTCAAGAGCACTGGTTGCTACTCTTACAGAGAACCCAGGTTTGAACCACATTGATGACTCATAACTCTCTAGTTCCAGGGGATATGTCATCCTCCCCTGGCTTCCATGGGCACCAGAAATACATGTGGTACATGTAGGCAAAATACCCATAAACATTAAAAAAAAGAAGAAGAAATTTGAAGTTGCCTTTGGGAGGTACTCAGTAAATGGGGTCCTGTGGTCTGGGATTCTGAATGTCGTGCCTAAAGATGATGGTGCTGTGCACCATTCAACCGTTGATATCGCTTGGGTGCGCGACTGAGCCAGAAGTCACTCAGAAGCTCTGGAATGTGCTGTGCTGCACGGACCAGATACTTCTTCCTTCTCACTACTGCACCCTGACCCCTTCAGAGCCTTTCCATTTTCAAGTGTGTCCGCGTACACTGGACTGTGATGCTCAGCTGCTTTCACGTCCTTCTTGTCTTTTTTTTTTTCTAGATAAACATCGAAGATCTTGAGGATGACCTTGTGGTAAATGGGGAGAGGTCTGACTGTGGCCTGCCAGAGTCTGTGTCATCAGGGAACAAAGGAAGGGCTCAGCGTGGAAACCCAGAGGCGAAGCAAGATGAGGACGAGGCCAAGGCAGGGTTCCCAGAACAGGTATAGGCGGTCATACGGTGATGGGGTGACTGAGGCATGTCAGAGGAAAGGCCCCAGGGTGCTAGCAGCTCAGTACCCTGTCCCACCAGTTTCCTGAATTCTTCTGAGTTTGAGCTCATCAATTGTCTGGTTGCCCTGAGGAACCTAGGTGAGGTTTCTTTGGGAGTCTGAAGGCCATTATTAGCCTCATGGGTACCATGTAGAGTGTCTACCTACCTCTTTCAAGAGTGTCTGTGTCTGATCAGATGTTGTCTGATGAAGCCTGAGTTCTCACAGAAGGACTTGGCTACTGTAGGTGTTGCAGGAGAGCAGAGGTAGGGCCCGCCGTGAGGAACCCTGACCCAGTGACTCCCCATTCAGGGCAGGTAGAGCACAGCAGGAAATGGTTGGCAAAATGAAGAGAGAAAGACAGTTGCCAGGTGACTGGATGGTCCTGTGAGCTAAGTCTGCTGTAGGTACGGGAAGTCCTGAGGCACGTCAGGGCAGGGTATGAGAGGCCACGCCCACCTTGTCACTGGGGAGGACCATGGGAGTTGTTTCTTACTGCAGAAATGCAAGTGAATTGGAAGAACTTGAGGATGTGGGGAAAAGAAGGAGGACTATCACACTGGGAATTGAACTTGTTCTTTAAATTTTTATTTATTTATTTATTTATTTATTTATTTATTTATTTATTTATTGGTTTTTAGAGACAGGGTTTTGCTGTAGTTTTAGAGCCTGTCCTGGAACTTACTTTGTAAACCAGGCTGGCCTCGAACTTGCAGAGATCCACCTGCCTCTGCCTCTCGAGTGCTGGGATTAAAGGCGTGCACCACCACCGCCCAGCATTTTATTTTATTTTAATTCAGAGTCTCACTATATACCCTGGCTAGCCTGGAACTCTCTATATAGACCAGGCTGGCTTCAAACTTAGAGATTCACCTGTATCTGCCTTCTAAGTGCTGGGATTAAAGGCGTGCGCCACCATACCTGGCTGTTGCGTAGTTCTTAACGTTTTCGATTTTATTTCTTTCCATTGATTAAAATGTCTCCTTCCATTAGTCTAATGCAAGTGGCAAACTCCGAAAGAAGAAAAAGAAGCAGAAAAATAAGAAAAGCTGCACAGGAGAATCCTCGGTATGTTGTCAAACTGGCTGGTTCCTCTGCCTGAGCCTCACTGTTCCTGATGGTCCCTCAGGCTGCTTCTAAAGAAAGATTTGTTTTATTGAACATTTTGATTGCTTCCCACTGAAGTGTGGCTGAGAGGTCAGGAGAACAAAGGGAACATCACTTACAGATCTTGCTCTGCCTTGTGCCCTTTGCTTCCTGGTTGTCAGACCTCACTCTTGGGTTCTGTGTTTTGAGGTGAGCGTTCCTTCTAGATTTCTTCCCTGCTCAACCTACTTTTGTCTTATCCTAATGGCTTAAGTTGGTAGTGAGTGTAGAGGCCACTGGATCTGTCATCAGACGGTACAGTCCTGCCTCATGCCCAGTGTCTTACTGTAGTTCTGAAAAAAAAAAAAAGTCGTAGTTTTGTTACCGTCCAGCAAAGGGTCATGACTCGGCTTACCCAGGGAGGTAAGCTCCTCTGGAGAGCAGATGTGGTGTTTTAGCCTGTGATTTCCAGGGCCCTCTGAGTCTGTGATTCCAGCTCTTCTGGCTTTCTCTAGTGAGACATGTCTCCTTTCTGAACGTCTGTGCAGCGTATGATCATGTCTTTTAGGAGGTAAATCAACATAATCATTCTTTTTCAAAATAAATCATTCCGTTGCCGATGGTTATACTATTGAAGTAAAGTCAGAGCCAGGTATGGTGGCGCATGCCTAGAATCCTAGCAGTGAAAGTCAATGCAATGATTAACAGGTGTTCTGACTTTTAGGAAAATGGGCTAGAAGATATTGATCGTATCTTAGAGAGGATCGAAGACAGCAGCGGGTTCAGCCACCCAGGCCCCCCTCCACTAAACTCCAGGAAGCACGTCCTGTATGTGGAGCACAGGTACAGCCCTGCCCTCACTTCAGGAGAAAAAAAACAATATTTGGGGGGAAAAAAAAAAAAAAGAAGAAGAAAAATTACTATCTTTTTTTCCGGTCAAATCTGATGATATACATTTGTAATCAGCCCCAGCACTGGGGAAGTGGAGGCAGGAGAACAGGGCTGCTCTTATTTCTGGGATAGTGGTGAGGTGTAGGGATGCAGTTCAGAGGGGAATGTGCACCTCACATGTGGAATCCCCTGCATCCCATCGTCTGTGCCACCAACTTGACATTCAGCTCCTTTAAAAAACAAAATGAAGCAATGCGTGCTGGGTTTGGTGGCTTCTGCTTGTGATACTAGGACTCATTAGGTTGAGGCAGAAAGATTGCCACAAGTTCAAGGACAGCCTGGGCTACAGAATGAGACGTTCTGCCTCAGAAGCAAATAAATCAGGCTTATTAAACATTTAAGAAATATCAAGGAATAAGAAATACTCATTCATATTTTAGAGGACTTTTAGCTTTATGTATCTTGGATTCTTGAGCTGTGTGGAGCAGCCATTCCCATTCAGATAAGTAAAACATAGTTCTTACTACAGAGGTTGTTAGTTTTTTGAGAGTGGGTCTCACAGTGTGCTCAAGGCTGGCTGGGACTTCTGATCCTCCTGCTTCCGCCTTCCAAGTACTGAGATTACAGGCATGTACCACCATGCCAAGCTCCCTATTAGATCCTTATGTGAATTTATAAAATTTTATAAAAATTGAAAATTTATAAAAAATTTAGAATTACTGTAGAAAAACATAATTTTTCTTTCTAAACTTTTTCCTCAGGCACTTGAATCCAGATACAGAACTGAAAAGGTATTTTGGTGCTCGAGCGGTCCTGGGAGAACAACGGTGAGGCCCTGGTCACTCTGTGCTCTGCAGGTTCTGTCTTTCCCAGACTGTAAAGGGAAGGCTGTGTAGAGGGAGACTGAGGCAGAAAGAATGCCGTGAGTTCTCCTAGGGGAAATGTTTGCATCCATAGTGTATTAAGTAGAGCTCTTAGCATTGGTTCTGAAATGAGTCAAAAGAAATGATTTGTGAAGTCATCAAGACTCCATGTACCCGGGGTCTGTCCTTCATGCCTTCTTCCCTAGGAAGGACATCATATTTTTGCAAAGATGCTAAAGACCTTGTTGTTCAAAGTTGTGTTTTTGTTTTTCAGTCAGTAACTATGTAATCCGAAGTTGAGGTGATAGGAGGTGTTGTATCTGTGGTGGTTTTTAATAGTTCTTAGTGTCTGGGCGACATGTGACAGGGATAGCATTGCAGGGTGTCCCATGAGTCAAGGAAAAGGGTACAAGGGTCCACCTCTGGGAATTGTGTTAGGAAACAATGTATATTCTCTCTGCTTCTCCATCAGAATGTCTAGAAAGATTTATCTTTGCTTTATTGTTCATGACAGGATTCTCTGGCCTGGAACTTGAGTTCTCTAACCTTCTGCCTCAGCCTTTTAAGTGCTATGATTGTAAGCTTTGTACTGTCAGGGCTAGCTTAGCACTGTCTTTTTATTTTTTTAATATTATTTATATTGATAAGATAAAATATAGTGCTTCATATATGAAAATACATTCAAAGAGTTTGCATGTTTGAAATTGTACTGTGTACATGCAATACCTGCAGAAGCCAGAAGAGGGTGTCAGGTCTTCTGAAATTGGTGTTGCATACATGTGGGTGATGGGAACCAAACCCAGACCGATTATAAGGGCAGCAAATGCTCATAATAGCTGAACCATTTTTCAGCCCCTAGCATTGTCTTTCTAAGTTTTGTGGGGTTTTTTTTTTCCTGATTGTAAGACAAGTGCATCTTTTGAAAAAGTTTAGTCCGTTTAGTCATTTGACCTTTGGCTTTCATTCTCTCACCACAGCCCCGTATTATATGTTATATGTTGGTAATAGGTTGTATACTGTAGGAGCACATGCCAGTACTAGCTTTATGTGACCACGAGAGAATTCTGTTGGTCACTGTAACAGCCTGGTTTGCATGTCTGGTTTTCTAGGTTGTCATTCTCTATGCTGTGATGTACTAGGGTTGGGTACTCGCCCCAGATGCTGGATTGTGTGCAGCTCTTGGCTGTCATCCTGTGACTGCACAGCTCTGTGAGACAGAGCTGCCCGCTGCCGAGCTACCCACGGAGGAGTTGTGCGGCTTAGATCCACACCCCACCCAGGGTCAGCCTCTTCTCATAGCAGACATGAGAAGTTTTGGGGGCTTTGGTGTTGTTTCTACTTTTATTTCTTAGATTATGACTAAGTCCACTGGCTTTTCGCCTGCCCTTTACTTCTACTTTTCTTTTGTTTCCTATGGGTTTTTGTGTGGTGGAGTAAAATCTCACTGTGTAGTCATAGCTGGCCTAGGATTCAGTGCATACACCAGGCAAGCCTGGAATTCAGAGAGATCCACCTGCTCCTGTTCTCCAAGTACTGGGATTAAAGGTATAGGCCATCATGCCTGGCTTATTTATTTCTTGTTTTATACTTCTAGTGTTTAATTTTTCTGACTTTGATGTCTTCTTTTGGGAACATTGATGAAAAATATTTATGCTTTAAATATTCCCTTTTGGGGCTGGAATTATAGGCTCATTTGGTAGAGTGCTTGCCTAGCATGCTTGAAGTCCTGGGTTTGATCCCCAACACACAAGTACTCCCAGCACTTGGTGAGAGGAGGCAGGAGGGCCAGGAGCTACCCTCAGCTGCATAGTGAATTTGAAGCTAGCCTGAAATACATGAGCCTTGCCAATCAATCAATCAATCAATCAGTCAATCAATTGTTCTCTTAATTGTACTGCCCTGGGCCAAGTTTTCTGTTTCTTTGTATTAGTTACTTTTCTTGTTGCTGTGGCAAACACCTGACAGAAGAAACTTGAGGAAGGGGTTGTTCTGGCTTTCAGTCTAAGGGAATACAGTCTGTCATGGTGGGAAGGGCTTGGCAGCAGGAGTGTGAGACAGCAGGAAGCATTGTGTCCGCAGTCAGGAAGCAGACTCCCTTCTCACCCTTTATTGAGTCCAGTATCCCAGCCCCTTGGTTGGTGCTGCTCACATTCAGGGTCAGTCTTTCTGTCATCGCCCTCACAGACAACAGTCTTAGTGATTGCAAATATTGTCAAACTGACAATGAGGACCAACCCTCCTGCTCTCTCCTGCAACCCTGCTTTGTCTGTCTGCCATTTCGTTACAGTTTTTATTCCTGTTTTTGTGAGTTATAGTTACTGACAGTAACTGATGATTATATTTATTTCATTCTGTATAGTGCTAGGTGAGATCCACAGCCTTACAAACGCTGCGTACACATTGAACACCCGCCGTCCTGGTCTCGACTCATGAACTCTTCACTCACTACTGGTCCTGAACTGCTGCACAGCTGGGACTATAGGCAGGCACCACCTTGACCCCAGTTCATTTGTTACTTTTATAGTATTGTGTTTATTTCTTTAAACCTTTTAAGTTGGGCCAGAGAGGTAGCTCAGAGAGTCAAATTGCCCGCTGGCAATTGTCGGTCCTAGAAACTGACGCGATGGAAGGAGAAACCAATTCCCCTAAGTTTTCCTCCAACCTCCACACTGGAACCATGCCACATATATGCCCACACATGTGTGCATGAGTGTGAACACAAATACATGGATCAATTTTAAAATATGAAACACAGGCTGGAGAGCTGACTTACCAGTTCAGAGCACTTGTTGCTCTTGTGGAAGACTGGTTCTGTCTCTAGTACTCACGTGGTAGCTCACAACCATCCATAATTCCAGTCCCAGGAAATCTAACACCCTTTTCTGACATCCACAGGTACCAGGCTTGCTCCTAGTACACATATATACATGTATGCTAGACGTTCATAAACGTAAAACAAATCTTTTTTTAAAAAGCTTTTAAAGACACAAATTTGTTTTGAGTTTGGTTTTTCAAGACAGGATTTCCTTGTGTAGTCTTGCCTATCCTAGAACTAACTCTGTAGACCAGGCTGGCCCCAAATTCATAATGATCTGTCTGCCTCTGTTTCCCGAGTGCTGGGATTAAAGGCGTGTGCCATCACTGCTTGGCTGAAACAAGATTTTTTTTAAAAAATACAGTCCTTGGCTAGACATGGTGGCACTCACATGTAATCCCTGTGCTTAAGAAGCTGAAACGGGAATCTCAAATTCAAGGCCAGTCTAGGCTACATAAAAAGACCGTGGGTAAAAATATAAAATGTTTAAAATAATTATGTCTGGGGGGCTGGAGAGATGGCTCAGTGGTTAAGAGCACTGCCTGCTCTTACAAAGGTCCTGAGTTCAATTCCCGGCAACCACATGGTGGCTCACAACCATCTGTAGTGAGGTCTGGTGACCTCTTCTGGCCTGCAGACATACACACAGACAGAATATTGTATACATAATAAATAAATAAATAAATATTTAAAAAAAATAATAATTATGTCTGCCTAAGATTTGTCCCAGAAGCTACCATGTTTTTCCTTTTCATTCTCCACCCTTACCCTGCTGCTTTGAGACAAAGCCTGAGCCTTTTCTCCTTCCAGTGTGGCCAGTGCTCTTTTGGGGACTTCATCTTCCTGTTGACAATATCTGTCCAGAGTTCCTCCCCAAACCTCTCTGAGCATGCCCTAAACCCCGTCCAGGTGAAAGGCTTACTTCAGACTAGGCCTTCCCAGCTCCTTTAGGCTCGGGGACAGTTTCCCCATCCAGGAACTGTCTGTGGGTAACTGCCTATCTTACTTTCCTTCAGATTTTGACTCTGTTTCTCTAATACACTTGGTTTTCTCCTGCAGCTATTTTATTTCTTTTTGAGAGAGAAAAAAAATAAGCTTTTCTATCTTGTTTCCAGAAATACAACTTGTTACTCATTCTTTTCAAAGTATCTCAAATTATCAAGGAAGCAGAACAACACACATCCACATGTGACTCACTCAGCAACCCGATGTTTCCCCTCCTGGAAGCGAGACGGCTCCTTCCTCCTCCCCTTCCATCTGTGCCCTACTGCTCACCATCTGCTCGGGACGTGGAAAGGTGGGGAGGGCGTGGCTGCTGTGATCCGTGCAGGATCTATGTGAAGAGCCTGGCCTTCCTTTCCCTGCAATCCTGTCAGGCTGATGTCCTTCTGAAATGTGCAGGTGCCCTTCGGGGTTCTCCTTATTGCCGTTGCTTCCTTTTTAGATTGCTGTATTGATTTATCAGTCAGGTATTTATCTCATTCCCCGGCACTCAGCCGTAACCAAGGGTTACGTTTGTTCTGCCTGATACCCAAGGGGAGCCAACTCTGTAGCTCACATCTGTCAACAGAATACTTCTCAGGCCTGCCTTTTTGTTTAAGACTGTCTCACTATGTATCATTGGATGTCTGGAGCACTCTGGGTAAACCAAGCCAGCCTTAAACTCACAGAGATCCACCTACATCTGCTTCTTGAGTCCTGGGATTAAAGCTGTGTGCTACCACTTCTGGCCCCCCTCTCCTCCTCCCCCCACCCCCGCCTATTTATTGGACTGTTTGAACTTTCTCTTTTATTTTATTATTGCTATGGATGAACCTAGAGCCTCACATGTGCTGGGAAGATTCTCAGAGGTTCACCTCCAGCCTGGATTCCTGTCTCTGTTTCTCTGACTGTGGTGGTGGCTGTGCTGTTACTAGTACTCTGCTCCATCCACCCTGTCTTGTCCGCTAACCGCTCTACTCACACTTGACTTCCACGTACCTTTTCTGCCTCCATTTTGAGTTTTGCAGTTTCCATGAAGATTAGGCAGACCAGCCTGGTCGCATCCACCATGAAAGTGAAACTGCTGTGTTCTGTTTCTCCAGGCCTCGACAAAGACAGCGTGTATATCCTAAGTGCACATGGCTGACAACCCCTAAAAGCACTTGGCCCCGATACAGCAAACCCGGTGAGGCCCTGCTGGGGTTTGGGCAGTGACTTAGATTTGGTACGAATACTCTTAGTTCTCTTGGGCATTCACCCTTTCTTTTAAATTGTTACAGTTTTCTATTTCATAGCAAGCTACCAAATATGCATAATTTAAAGGAAGAGGGCAGCAGTACAGAGAGGCAAGAGGGCATGAAGTAAATGTCCTCTTTAGATACTTGGCTGTGTGGTATAGAAATATAATATCCAGAGTCCCTTTTTCATGTCTCAGTTGACCAGCATGAAAGCCCCTCAGAGGGTCAGGGCAGGGAACCCACAGTGGTGTGTGGCTGTACTGGTGATAGTGGTGTAGTAGCCCCGCCCCTCCCCAAGAGTCCCGGTTCTTCTGTGCTGGTGAAGACCTGTGCAGGAGCTCTGGGCCTGTGCACTGGTGCTTAACAGTGTCTTTGTCCCTGCTAGGCCTCTTGCCTTGCCAGCAAGAACACCTACACATACAGGCAAGCTTGTGGACCATGTAGTCCTGCCAGACTCCATCCTTAGGTAGGGCCATTTTAGGAGGGGAACTTAGGGGAACAAGAATTACTGGCTTGTTTAGTGGAAATTTCTCAGGGGGAAATTAAATGTCCCTGTGCACCCAACATTGTATAGAAGGAACAGAAAAGAGTATCTGTCTTAAGTCACCCTCACCCGTAGGTCCTGGTGCAGTGCTCACTGCATAGCCTTTTGGATGCTAATCCCAAGAACCTGGGCATGGTGTTCTACCATGCAGATACATGTGCTATAGTCTCTAGTATTGCTCCTAGCCATTCATACTGACCTGACACATTTCCCTCCTGTGTATACTCTGGGTGGATCTGAGGAAGCGAAACAGACAGGACTCGAGGTCTTGGTACAGCTCATTCAGTGTGAGCAGGTCTGAGCCCTCTGCAGGAGCTCTTGGCAGATAAGGGCTCATAGCCTGTATAGGACTAGAACTGGCCAGCCTGCCCCAGACACTCAGTTTGAGTTGTGTTCATGTAGCATACTTGTGCCAGGAACAGGGGGGCTGTGACTGCCTAGAGCTGAGGAGTCCTCCACAGTGCCCCAGCCTGGCCCCCAGCACACCCTCCTGAGCAATATTTCTTCCAGGTCTATCAATGCGGCTGCTGGAATCCAAGAAAGGCCTTTCTTTCTTTGCATTTGAGCATAACGAGGAGTACCAACAAGCACAGCACAAGTTCCTGGTGGCTGTGGAATCCATGGAGCCAAACAACATTGTGGTGCGTAACCCCGCAGCTCCTGATGGTTGGGGGTCAAGCAGTGCATTGTGCCTGGGCCAGGTCCAGTTGTGACTTGGGGAGGCTTGTCTGAGAGCAGCTGCTTTCCCTGAGAATGGAAGATGCTGTGTTTGGAGGAAGTGTGCTTAGAACTAACAGTGTAGCCTCTCAGAGGAGAGCCACACTCTGCTCTCGGTTCCCTTCTGCAAACTGTGTGCAGGGCATTGTGGGATCTTTTCCCAGCTGCCTTTGGCTTAGGTGTTATGGCAGGGGGAATGCTTGGTTCCATTCTCCAGATAGCCTGTCCCTTCTGTGCTGCTACAACCTGTGTTGTCTCCGGGTCCCCTGCCAACCCCATGCCTGGGCCACAGTTGAGTTTGCAATCACCGAGGACAAGGAAGAGCTCATTCTTTGTGCCTTTGAGTACCTGATTCCCTGAATGATGTCACAGTTCTTTCAGGAGGATAAAAAATTCTAGTTTCCGTTGCTGTTGTTCGGGGAATTAGGCCAATTCTGAGCTCCCACTGAACTGCATCAGTGGTTCAGCTGAGCCACAACACCACGCATCTTGAGGTAAAAGAACTACGAGCCAGGCATGGTGGTGTAGCCCTTTAATCCCAGCACTTAGGGCAGGGGTAGGTAGATCTCTTGAGTTAGAGGCCAGCCAAGGATACGTAGTGAAACCCTGGCTCAAAAAAACAAAAACTAGGGCTGGAGAGATGGCTGCTCTACAAGGGGTCCTGAGTTCAATTCCCAGCAGCCACATGGTGACTCACAACCATCTGTAGTGGGATCTGATGCCCTCTTCTGGCAGAAAGTTGTACATGCAGCTGGAGCACTCATGCATATTTAATAAAGTTTGAGAAAAAAAGACTGAAAGCAAAACAAACTGTGACTTTCATTTTTGATGGTTTTTCTCGGCATGGGGCATGGCCTGGTGCCCTCTGAGGCATGTCCCATGAGGGTGCTACCTACAGTTTTTCTGTAAAATTATCTTCCTTTCCAACAGGTTCTGCTCCAGACAAGTCCCTATCATGTCGACTCACTCCTGCAGCTCAGTGACGCCTGCCGCTTTCAGGAGGATCAGGAAATGGCTCGAGACCTTATAGGTGAGCCAGCTGCATCTGCCGCTCCAGCCCCTCCAGCTCACAGGCAAATGTTGCTTCATGAGATGACAAAGGATGTTTCATGGAGATAGAATTCACTTGTGTAGAATGTACAACTCACTGTTTTTAGTGCACGCAGGTGTATAGCCTTTACCACAGTCTGTATCCATCCGTTTTAAACCCTTTTGTCTGTAAGCAGCCCCTGTCCTTCAGTCCTGGGAACAACGAGTGTACTTTGTCTGTAGTTATGCTTGAAGTGTAGAGGTCATGCAAACATGGCTTTTGTGTTTGGCTTCTTCCTTTACCGTCTTCGCTATCCGTGTTGGAGCATGTGCCCTACTTGCACCCTGATGTTGCTGTGTACTTGGTCTGGGTGTAGACTGCGTTTTCTGTATGTCACTAGTTGATGAACATATAGGTTGTTTTCTGGCTGTCGGAAATGGGGCTGCTATGACATACATGTGCAGGCTTTGTGCGGGTGCCTGTGGTGTACACGTGGGGGTGCCTCAGTGTTAGCAGATCGCAGCACCAGCTGTCGTGGAGCAATACCTGGGGAGTCCTGTGTGTGCCCTCTTTCTTGCAGGGTCCCAGTTCATGACCTCCCTCCTTCCAGAATGTTCCTTGTTTTGAGTTGTTAGAGGAGAGAGTTATAGTCATTTGTCTGTGACAGCATCCTCTGGTATTTGTGGCCCACAGAGAGAGCACTGTACAGCATGGAGTGTGCATTCCACCCCTTGTTCAGTCTCACCAGTGGGACTTGCAGGCTGGATTACCGCAGACCTGAGAACAGGTGAGTTTGGGCCACCCTAGAGTGAGTAACGGGCTACCTTCAAGTCACATGAGTGACTGTTATGAGCTTAGTGGGGAACAGGTGATGTAAGACTGTCCCAGGGAATGGATCAGGGCTTTGACAATTCAGAGCACCGTCTAAGCTTTGGTATGTTCACTGCTGAACTGTAGAGGGCTGGGCTCAGGGAATCAGGCATCATATCGGCCCAATAGTAAACCTATTCAAGTTATAAGTGAGCCTGTCAAGCCACAGAACAGCGAGGGCTGGAATCATGCTCGCTGTGTGTTTGGAGGAAGACCCATTCCCAGGGAGGTTAAACTATTTAGCGTGCTTTGCAGTTTTGTTCCTGATTCTTAAGTCTGAGATGAGCACGGGCACAGCTTGACATCGGGGATCACACGGAGAGGATTCTCTTTACCATGTTTCTCTAAGCCTGCCCACCCTCTGGTTTTAGCTCGTATGTGTCTCCCTCCCTCCCATCTAGCACTCTGCTTCTCTGGATACCCTGGTCTTCCGTTATAGGAAGTCCTGCCACCTTAGCTACAGCTGTTGTCTGATCTCCTGCACAGAATGTTGGGACTGAATCTCCTCCTCTGGGTTCCTGTGTATTTCTTTTGTCTCTTTTAGTTAAACTCTACTTTGAAACAATTTCTAAAATTAAGTCGCCAAGATGACTAAAACCATCCAGCTTTGTGCTTCCAGGTGTAATGCTATGACAACTGGTAAATCTGAGCATAAGTTAAGAGTATAATTACATAGGTTCTAATTCTTTTCCTTCAAAGGTAACCAGTAAACAGCTAGCAGGAAGACAGGTTTAGCCAGGTGTGGTGGCACATGCCTGTAGTAGGTCATCTTTGATTACATAGTAAATTTGATGCCAACCTGGGCTCCATGAGATCTCCTCTTAAACCAGAAAAAAGAAAAGAAAAGAAAAGAAAAGACATTGATTGTAGCCTAGGATAGTGGCCCCCGTGAACGGATTAGCATTCTGAGGTAGGAAGACCTCTGAGCCATTTTATTCAAGGTTAGACTTGGCTGTAGAGTCAGGCCATGTCTCAGAACTGGAAAAGCTTGATTTTCATGGCTAAGTATATTTATTACTAAATAACGAGGAGCACGCATTTCCTGCAGACACGCAGGGAATGGTCACAAACCCTGTATCTAGCCACATAGGAACTTCGGTCGCAACCCAGAGGGTGGACACAGTGCTGGCCCTTCCTGTTGCCATGCTCTGCTCTTCCGTCACTAATGCGCAGGTAACTGTCTCTGATCTAGGAGCTTCTATCTGGCCCTCTACAAGCAGATGAGTTTCTTGGAGAAGCGAGGATGCCCACGTACTGCGCTGGAGTACTGCAAGCTCATCCTGAGGTGAGAATTCACTTTGGCTGCATGGCTACCTGTCCCCACCACAGTGGTCCCAGATCTGTGGGGTCTCCAGCCATGACAACACTTCCTCTGTCTCCCTTGTTCTCCACTTACTGTGCTGCCTCCGGAAGCCTTGAGCCAGATGAGGACCCCCTGTGCATGCTGCTGCTTATTGACCACCTGGCCTTACGGGCCCGGAACTATGAGTACCTGATCCACCTCTTCCAGGAGTGGGAGGTATGTGCGAGCCATGTGCAGCTGTGTGTCTGTCTCCCTTACCTTTCTCACCCACACCCTATGTGTTTGAGGGATGGTTCTGTGATGAGATGGTGAAGGCACGAGCCAGAGCTCAAGTAGCTCCCAAGAGCCTTAGGAGGACCCCTTTCCACGGGCCTGCACCAAGAACACATGCACAAACAGTGGTACCAGTGGTGACGGAAAGTTGGGAAAACCCCACAACTCACTCTGGTCCATGTAAGAAGCGATCATGAAGCAGACCGTCATAAGGGGTCACCACAGGGAACCTCAGCATACAGACCCACATTCTGCAGCAGTGCTGGACAGACAGTCATAGACCAATCACTGTGCCTTATCAGATTTATATGTAAATAAAAATGAAAGATAGCAGCTGAGTGTTGGTGGCGCACACCTGTAGTCCCAGCACTTGGGAGGCAGAAGCAGGTGGATCTCTGTGAGTTCGAGGCCAACCTGGTCCACAAGAGCTAGTTCAGGACAGGCTCCAAAGCTACACAGAGAAATCCTGTCTCGGAAAACTTAAAAAAATAAAAATAAAAAATAAAAGCCTGATACCACACTGCTGCCATCTGGCCCAGATGCTGTAGGTGCTAAGTGCACCTTGGGTGCCAGACAGCACCAAGAAAGAACACACACTGTCGTGTCCATGACTGGGCACGTGTGCTCATGTGTTGAAATAACATTCCAGTTTATTGTGCTTTAAGATCAGTTCTGCCATTCTCCGTCAGCACTGCTAGACAGTTTAACAGAGTCCATTCCATCCCATTCCATCCTCATCCCATCCCACCCCATCTTTATCCCATCCTCATCCCCATCCCACCCCATCCCATCCCATCCTCATCCCATCCTCATCCCATCCTCATCCCATCCCATCCCATCTTCTTGGATCTTGTCAGAGAAGGGAGGCGTTGAGTTTTATGCTGGTTGCTTCCAGCAGGGAAAAGCAGGGAGAAAGGTGACAAGCCTTTGTTTTCTGTGTCTACTCTTGAGTTCTTTTCACAGTACTTTTGGTGGTGGTTGTGGTCTTTCTGTTTTTCGAGACAGGGTTTCTCTGTAGCTTTGGAGCCTATACTGGAACTAGCTCTGTAGACCAGGCTGGCCTCGAACTCACAGAGATCTACCTGTCTCTGCCTCCTGAGTACTGGGATTAAAGGTGTGCGCCATCACTGCCTGGCAACACAGTATATATTTTTACATTATCAAAAAAGAGATAATCATTTTAAGTTACATAATGCTTGGTATAATTGGAAGTTTTGCTTTTAGGGATCTGATTTATAGAATCCCTGGACCTCATGAAAGCATGGCTACAGGAAATACCACAGAGAGCTGTGTGAATAATCATTGTGGCTTATGTGGTTGTGGAATAAAAAGCAGGGCATGATGATGTGTGATGTAACCCCAGTTACTGTAGGGGACAGGACAGGGGCAGGTGCATTGGCTAGCCAGCCTAGACAAATTGATGCTCTTCGGGGATGGTGAGATGAGAGACCTTGCACTTAACACCAAACCTGATGATCTAAGTTTGATCCTTAGAACTCACTTAGTGGAAGGAAAGAACTGACTTCTGCAAGTTGTCCTCTGGCCTCTACACGTGTGCCGTGGTATGCATGTATACACACACATACAATAAATAGATAAAAATAGATAAAAAGTTAAGAAGTAAAATAAATTTGGAGAACTGAGGAAATACACCGAATATTGACCTCCAGCCTCCGCACTCACATACATGTGTGTGTGCACCAAACATAAACAGGAAAGACGTAGAACAAGTCATTTGTCTATTGTATGATGTTTACTCTTTTGGCTTTTTGGGGGCCCACCACCCAGCTCCCAAGTAAATCATACACAGAGAAGCTTATTCTCATGGCCTTAGCTTGACTTGTTTCTAGCCAGCTTTTCTTAAATTGTCCCGTCCACCTTTTCCCTCTTACTGCTTCTTCCTTTTCCCTTTCTTCCGGTATCTTCTTTTCCTTCTTACTCCACGGCTGACAGTGGTTGGGTGGCCCCTGATGTCCTCCTCTCCTCTTTTGCTTTTCCTTCTCTTCCTCCTTTCTCCTTTTACTCTGTCTACCTGCCAGCCACACCTGTCTTTGCTCCTGCCTTGCTATTGGCCATTCAGCTTTTTATTAGGACCATCAGGTGTTTTAGACAGGCAGAGAATCACAGCTTCACAGAGTTAAACAAATGCAGCATAAACAAAAGTCACAGACTTTAAAATAATGTTCCCCAACACTCGCCAGGCACCTTTAATCCTAGCATTCAGGAGGCAGAGGGAGGTGAATCTCTGTGGGTTCGAAGCCAGCCTAGTTTACAGAGCTAGTGCCCGAAACAGGCTCCAAAACTACACAGAAACCCTGTCTCAAAAAACCAAACAAACAAAAATTCCCCAATATTTGTCTTCTCACAAACCATAGAGAAAGAAAGGAAATTACTGGAAAACACTTGTAGGTCAGGTGGCATCAGGTCTCACTCTTGCTGACTTACTTTATGAGCTTTCTACATAGGCAGGGGTGCTGGCTTCCCTGCTTCCGGAGCTGAGAGTCTAGGCAGGGACATCCATCCTTAGTGGGCTGAGGCCCTTGTCTGCTGCTGAAGCATCAGTCATCTGGTTGGGTTCCTTTTGTGTTTTCTACATGTAGAAAATGATTCGCTTCATCCTGAGGTCAGGTGAGAGGCCCACAGAGGAGCAGTGGTGAACCTCATCCACTGCGTATCTGTAAACTACGTGTTTTGTTTTCATGAACTTAAGGCTCTAGGCCTTGTTTCTTTGTCCCTTATAGGCTCATCGGAACCTGTCCCAGCTCCCAAACTTTGCCTTCTCAGTTCCACTGGCATATTTCCTTCTGAGTCAGCAAACAGACCTACCTGAGCATGAGCCCACCTCTGCCAGGCAACAGGCTTCCCTCCTGATACAGCAGGCGCTTACCATGTTCCCTGGAGGTATGTGCCACCTCTTGTCTGGGGAATCACAGCCCTCACCATACTTAATGGAAAGATTGCATTCCCTTAAAGGCCTAAAGACTTGGTGTAGTTCTAGTTAGGTAGCTAGTCTACCTACTTCATTGAGCCTGCTATATAAGTTTGGTGAGGGATGAGAACAGAAAGAGAGACAGATGTCTTTGGGGTCTTGTTTCAGGATGGAAGAGCACACAGTATGTCAGATGGTCTTTGTTAATAAAGGAAAAAGGTAGAAGTAGTATCTAGAAAGGCCTGAGGCTAGCCCAGAGACAGTTTGAAGGGCATTGGCTTTGGTAGCCAGGAGGAGGCCCTTGTGTACTGCCCAGACATTCTCACAGCTGTGCGGCCACCAGATCTTTCCTAAGAGTGTACACGGAGTGACACTGACAATAGAGTCCTGTGGGTTGACCTCTTCTCAGTTAGAGAGACCCGGGATCGCTACCACATTGTAGGCTCTGAGTTCCTGGAGCCTTGGCCAGACCTGAGCAACCTCAGACCCAGAGAGGGTCAGTTCCATTAGAAGCTGCCTATGCCTTCTGTGACTGACAGAGATAGCCCTGCCTTTTCTGCTGGTAGTCCATGTGCTGAGCAAGCACTACCTCCTCACAGGATGCTGCAGCACGTGCTTGTCCCCAGAAAGTCACTGGGAGGACTGTTATGTTCTGTAGCTTACCAGCATGCAAGCTGTTTAGAGAAGCCAACACTTTGGTGAACCACCCTCCATGCAAGAGCAGCCCTGTGTTGACCACTGATCTCATCCTGGTCCCTGTAGAGTTAGCTCTTGCAGGACACAGTCAGCCCCACTCCCTCTAGTCTACTTTCAAATCTGACCTTTGTACAATGAAACATCCAGCCTTAGAGGTGATAGGCAAGTCTTCCTTGGATGCAGATGGAACAAGAGTCAGCAGGACATGCATCCACTTCCCAGGGTTCAGAGGTACCTTGGAGCCTAGTATGAGAGACCCAGCCTAGGAACAAGTTTGTAATGCTAGTCAGAAATGACCCTTGGCTATCCAGCTTCCTTTACTTTAAGAGCATATGGTGGCTGGGAGCCAGAACAACAGGACTGCAGTGTGTATACATGGAGCCATTACTTTTCCCCCCATAGTTCTTATGCCATTGCTGGAGTGTTGCAGTGTGCGACCTGATGCAACAGTCGCAAACCACCGCTTCTTTGGGCCAGATGCTGAGATAAGGTAAGGATGTGAGCCTGTAGGCACCGTTCCCCTCCCCCTTAAAGGAAGAGAGAAGTCTGTCCTGGGGGCTACTGTCCAGCTGAGAAAGCCCCTAGAGCCCACATCCATGTGCAAGACATCTCACCTTGGCGGCCCGGTGAGCACTCATCTCATGAGGTTCGCTCATGCTCCTTACTGTCGTTCATTCCCCAGATTTCTGTGCTGTCCCATTTCACATAAACAAGAAAAAACACACAGAAAAAAAAAACAATATATGTCATGTCGTGGCTCCCGCCCTCCCTACCTAACCAGCAGCTGTAGGCCATTTTTTGGTGTTGTTCCACATATAAAAACACTAATTTTTTTGCTTTTCACATTTCTGTCAAGTGATTTTTATTACTAAACTCGAGCAATACGAAGTGTGCTCAACCCCTCAGGAACCCAGCCCTCGGAAGGTAAAATATCCCAGGTCAGCAGCCGAGGGGTAGCCTCCTTAGTCCAAGGCCCTAGGCTTTTCCTGGATATGCCTTTGCCCACCATGGAGCTCTGCCAAACGTCTGCTTTCCTTGTTCTTCCACAGCCAGCCGCCCGCCCTGAGTCAGCTGGTGAGTCTGTACCTTGGGAGGTCACACTTTCTTTGGAAAGATCCCACCACTATGAGCTGGCTGGAGGAAAATGTCCGTGCGGTTCTGCAGGCAGTGGATGCTGGGGACCCTGCTGTGGAGGCCTGTGAGAATAGGTGAGCTGAGCCTGACAGATAAGCCCAAGAATCTAGCTCAGGGAGGGCACCCTGCAGGCACAAATCCTCTCTGTGTCTCCTCCTGGGTCTTTATCACACACATGGGACCTCTGATTTCAGCTTGACTGGCTGCGGCTATTTACAGAGATGTGAAGGGGTGGCTGTTAGGACCCTAGTGTTTGTTTAGCTTGCTTCTGCTTCTGTGCTCTGTTCCCATAATTGCTATCATGACTGCTTTCCTTTTTTTTTTTTTTAAAGGACTTACGTATTTATTATGTATATAGTGTTCTGCCAGCGTGTATGACTACACACCAGATGGGGCACCAGATCTCAGTACAGATGGTTGTGAGCCACCATGTGGTTGTTGGGAATTGAACTCAGGACCTCCGGAAGAGCAGACAGTGCACTTAACCTCTGAGCCATCTCTCCAGCCCTTGATTGCTTTTCTTACTCTTGTTGACAAAAGTTGAAGCCAAAAGGCAGCCAAAGCAACCTGTTGTTTTCTTTTCTACATGTGGGGTTTTCTGTAACTCAGAGGCTGTTACTTTTGCATTTGAGAAGCAGCGCTTTTGCCCGTTTGTGCAGTTTTGCTCATGGTCCTTGTCAGCATCCTGCTCTGGGGGCAGCCAGGCCAGGCTGGTTCTGAGGGCTCTGTTCTGCCCTGGCTGTATCATCTCCCTGTGTAGTCAAGTGGTCCGGTGGTACACACGAGGCTAAATTCTAGACTCTCTGAGGAACAGGGAAGAGGAAGTACGATTGCTTCCAGCCCTCTCCCTGCACTGGTTCTCAGCTGTGTCCAGCAGGAGGCAGACCCCCTACAGTAGCAGCAACAACTGACACCCAGGGATTCCATTGTGGACACCATGTAGTGTCTCACCAGACTACCCACAGCTACCGCATTTTCACATGGATAAAGGGACCAGAGTGCAGAACAAGCTAGTAGAGTCTCTCAGAGTCTGCTCTTGCTTCAGTGCTATGGGCTAGTAACACAGCTTCCATCCAAGAGTGAGGTAGGAGGTTTTCCAGAAATGCAACAGGCTAGTCCCTGCTGGATCTTCCCCAAGGTGGGTGTGGGTGACTTGGTGTTTCACACTGTGGGCACCAGTTTATCAGCCATTGTCTACTCTGGCCTCAGGCGGAAGGTGCTGTACCAGCGTGCACCCAGAAACATCCACCGCCATGTGATACTCTCTGAGATCAAGGAGGCTGTTGCTGCCCTACCCTCGGTAAGAGAGGACTGCTGAAAATGGGGACTTTGTGAGTGCCAGTCACAGTATAGCTAGCTACCCACAGTGCGGCCTGCATGCCAGGCAGAGCTGAAGCTGGTACAGCGGGCTCTTCCCCCTCAGCCAGTTTCTCTGGCCTTCCTCACTGTATTACTGCCTCAGTGAGCCATCTCACCAGGGTGTCAGACTCTCTGTGATGGAGACCTAGCCCTTCCTCACAGCCCCTGCAGCAATACTCATGTAATAGCCTTGGCTCTGCTTTCACAGATGTGTTTTCTGTTGGCACTCAGGGGGCGGGGGCAAGGCTGCATCATTTGGTGAACCAGCAGCCCAGTGGAGCCCAGTGGCTCTCCTCCCTCGTCCATGGTCTGTAGTTAGGCCAGTCATTTGTAACATGAATGTAGATGGTAGCACCTGTGGAAAATGCCCTCTGTCCTACATCCCACTGATTGAGATAAAATGCCATCCATGTTCCCCCTGACGATCCTCGGGGACAGTCTGTTCCACCCAGACCTAAAGTTTCTTGAAACAGAAATGGCCACTTCTGCCAGGTATAGTGACTGCCTCCTGGCAGATGGCTCAAGTCTGAGTTGAGACCACTGAAGCTTAGGAAGTCAGGGGCTGCCAGCAGTGCTCCAGAGTCTCTGGTTTTGTCCCCTCCTAAAGGACGTGACCACACAGTCTGTGATGGGATTTGATCCTCTGCCGCCCCTGGACACCATCTACTCGTACGTCAGACCAGAGAGGTACCTGCCTTCCCTGCTTTGTCTTCTCACAAACCCTCTTTAGTACTTTGGGGCTCACTGGGGCTGCCCTTACAGATTAGAAGGAAAAAGACAAACACGGGTGAAAAGGGCCAGTCCACTCAGGAGTAGGGCAAGTAGTGTAACGTGGATCTTCCTCAACCCACCAGAGGTCTGTGCTGTGCCCCATAGGTTTTGTAGCAGGTGTGAGAAGCACAGGGGGAAGCAAAATTAGGAGCCACCTCTGACCTGGCGCACTCCACAGCAGACATCAAGCTTAGAACCCAGAGATAGGTGTTGTGTCAAATCTGCCTGTGGGAGAAAGTGATTGAGGAAGAAGAAAGACATACCAGACCAGGAAGTCAGTCACCTGCTTTGTGGAAAGATGTGCCCCAGCCAGCCAGAGGGTGGCAGCTGGTACTCTAGCCTGTGCAGAAACGCTCTTCCAAGGGCAGAGCGTAAGGCCCAGTGAGCGCTAAAGGAAGGCCCATGTGACTGAGCCAGGAGAAGGGGGTAGTGGGTCAAGCATTAACATGGAACATGCCTGATTCACAGGCTGCCATGTACATGTGGGCAGATTGTAGAGTCTGGGTCTTGAGAGAACTCATTCCCTTTCCCTCCTAGTCTTCACAGCTGCCCCACACAGTCTGTTTCAAGAAAGGAGCACAGGTCACCTAGACCTTGGCAAAGCATTTGAGTGGAGTGACTCCCATTTAAGGTTTAGATGAAGACGAGAATTTTCACTGGGGTCAGAAACGTCCTGACAGGCAGACGTGGCCTTCCTGTCACAGCATCCTGCCCTGCTCTTGAGTCCCCAGAAGGGCAGTGTCATGATACCGTGAGTGGAGCTGTGCCGCAGCCTCTGCGATGCCCAGACCTCTCCTCCTGCCTTTATGTGACTGCCATGCCCTCCCCAGCCTTCAGATGCTGTAGTCACCTTGTCCTCTTTCTGTGTGACCCAGCAGGCTAGGTCCCTAAAGAGCCAGCACTCTGGGACACCACACCTCTCCTGTCCTTGTTGCTCTGGGTGTCCACAGCTATACTCAAGGCTGGTTAGTAGTCATCACTGGCCACCCCAGACCCTGATCTCAGTTTAGTACCCAGAAGCTAAGCCCCACTCAGAGGCTGCCTGTCCCTAGCAGTTAGACTGGGTAAGGACAGCTGACAAGGCTGGGACCCCACAGTGTCTGTTGACCTTCATTTTCTGACCTTTTTAATTTTCAGGCTGAGTCCAGTCAGCCATGGAAACACAATTGCCCTCTTCTTCCGGTCATTATTGCCAAATTACACCACAGAGGTATGTTGATGGAGCATATTGGTCTTTCCCTCCCAAGTTGCTATGGGCAAGTCCAGCTCAGGGTGGAGGCAGGAACGGCTGAGACTGTGCCGTGCTTAGGAAGTGGGGACGCAGCCTGCAGAAACTGCAGCAGCCACCCCCGGGTGAGTAGTGTGAGGTTGAGAGACCGTCAGCGTCGTGGTAGGTAGGTTGGCCATGGTTAAAATGCACATTTGGCTTTAGAGCTGCGTCTTCTGGGCAGGGACCTTGGGAGGGGACAGGCCCAATCTTGGAGCTTGAGCTGCCTCAAACTATGAAACCTGGGTCTCAAACCTGTACAGACAGCCCCCACTTAGATATGTCTCATTGTTCAGGAGAGGCTGGAGGAAGGAGTGGCCGGGGGTCCGAACCGCAATCAAGGCTTGATCAGGCTGATGTTGGCCTTACGTGACATGATGGCCAACTTCCACTTCAACGACCTGGAGGTGCCTCGGGAGGACAATCCTGAGGGCGAGGGGGACTGGGACTGACTGTCCAGATGCTGTGCCCCAGAGCTGTGCAATTATGTTCCTGATTCTTTTCTGGTTGGATTAACCAGTTCCCTGAAGTAGAAATGCTGACCATGTCATCTGCCCGTGTCTTTTGTTTTCCCTCTAAATGTGAGTGGGTTATGCTCTGCTGTGAGTGAGCTTTTCCTCCAGTGCCCTCAACCATAGCCCAGGAGCAGTGAGCCCCACACCGTATACACCCTGCTGTGTGCCTCACACTTCCAGAGTTTGTAACTTAATGCATAGAAAAAGGAGTTATCTCAGAGTCTTGAGTGCAAGGATCCCCCCATGCTCCTTGCTAGAGGTCACTGAACGTTCCACACATACTATACCCAGCATGTTTGCAGTGGTGGGGATCAACCCAGGGCCTGGCACATGATCTACCATTGAACGATAGTCCCAGCCTAGGAATTTTATTAGTAAATTTGGAAGGCTGGAGATGTGCCTCAGTTGGTAAACTGCTTGTTTAGCTTGCAGAGAGCTCCGGATTCGATCCCCAGCACAACACAAACCAGGTGTGGTAGTGTTCATCTGTCATCTCAGTACTCAAGAGGTAGAGAGAGGGACAAGAAATTTAGGAGTTTAAGATCATCCTCTGCTACATCACGAGTTCAAAGCCAGGCTTAGTTACATGAGACCCCATCTCAAAAGAGAGGTTTGTGACATGGGACACCCAGAATTGAAAGAGATGCCAAGAAGCAGCTTTGAGGCAGAAAACTTTCTTAGGTAGATCAGGGATGCTTTACAGAGGTTAAAGGGTATTTGATCTAGCTAGGGATGAGTGGGGAGCACTGACCAAGAACCCCCAGTCCAGTGGCAGGAACAGAGCCCACAGCCAGGCAAGGCCAGAGGTTCGTGTCTCATAAGCTGTCTAATTGTACAAAGATCCAGGCTACTGAGATGTTATAAGCTGTGTCAGGTTTCTCTTGGGCAGCCCTGCCCATCTGTGCCTATACAGAGCCTGGGGGAGGTACTACCATGGTCTCTAGTCTGAGACCAATGAGGTCCATTCTAAGTTTTGGTCCATTGATTTCTTCCTAGAAGTTCAGACATTGTTTCAGACATCACTGGATGTATCTGGTATGGACTAGGAACAAATAAAGCGTGTTTCAGGGATGTCCCGAGGGCCGTCTAAGTGGCTCAGTGAGTAAAGGAACTTGCTGCCAAGCCTGCTAACCTGTGTTCAATCCCCAGGATCCATACGGTGGATGGAGAGAGCTAACTCCTATAGGTTGTCCTCTGACCTTCACGCATACCTTGTGGCATTTGCACGCCTATACAAACACCAAATTAATGAAAAGGGGCCGCATGGTGGTAAAAAGTACTTACTGTGCTCGGGGCTTTTGCAGAGGCCAAGGTCACTGTCCCCTCAACAGGACATTGAGGACTGACTTGTATCCATCTATAGTCAGCCTAAGTGTCATTTGCAAGGGGTTCTGTGTGAGAAGTCACATGTCACATGAATCGGTGCTGCATCTCGGTTTTCTCCAGCATGAATTGGCAAGGCCATGAAGTCTGGATACAGGTTCTACCACTTATGCTCATGGGTCAGCAGGGGGTTGGGGAGGGCAGGCCTGGGGGGCATAGCCCCCATCAGTTGCCTCACCTACTCCTGGGTTTGGTGGGAGATCTACACCCAGTCCCAGAGAGGGGTACTGTTGAGATGGTCCTAATTCAGTGTCTGGATCCCAGTTGAAGTTGGAGTGGCCTGTGGTAAGTTTCAGCTAAGGGGAGGAGGGACTGGCTAGGAATGGGTTTGTTTTCTGGAAATGACAAGCACAGAAAACCTGGCATCCTGCCTCTTCCTTTCAGCAGCTGTAAGTCCATCCAGATGAGGACATGGCATCTGGAGCTGCAGCAGCTATTCTACAACCACGAGGCAATGAACTCCACAGTGAAGAGCCAGTGTTCTAGGATCAGTGAAGCAGAGGATGCCCTAGGCCTTCAGGAGCTTCCCACCTCCAGGCCTGGATCCTCATTAAATGATCGGCTTCAGAATGTTGCTCAGACTTAATTTCCAACTGAATCCATTTTTAATGGTGATAAATAAAAACCAGTCATTTACGTCATCTGTGGATCATCAGGAAAAGTAACTTTATGAGACAAGAGTCTCAATGTGTAGCCCTCGATGGCCTAGAACTTGTTATGTAGACCAGGCTGGCATCAGAGATCAGCCTGCCTCTGCCTCCCAAATGTTAGAATTAAAAGTGTGTACCACCACACCTAATCTGCATGTCATCTAAGCAGCTTTAAAGTCTGGCCTGCCACCCAGGTGGGGTGGTACTGTACCCCACTCCTCCTACACCTCAGTCTCAGAAAGAGGTGCCTCCTTGTGTGCTCCTGTGCAGAATTGTTGGGTATTTGTGCATTTTCATGTAGTCAGGGAGAGAACCTGTTTGCTGCCTCCCAGAGAAAGTTCAGAGGAAATGAATGACTTTCAAATGAAAACATGGTGACATAGCCTTTTTAACTTCTGTTTTATTGTGTGTATGGGTGCTTTGCCTGAATATGTGTCTGCGCCATCTACATTCAGTGCATACAGAAACCAGAAAAGGGTGTACAGAAAATAATGTTGGATCACTTGGAACTGGAATTGCAAACCTTTCTCTCTCTCTCTCTCTCTCTCTCTCTCTCTCTCTCCCCCTCTCTCTCCTCCCCACCTACCCCCCCCCCCCACAGGGTAGTATGGGTTACACAGGGTTTCACTGTGTAGCTCTGGCTGTTCTGGAACTCAGACCAGGATGGTCTCAAATTCAAATATCCACCTGCCTCTGCCTCCCAAGTGCTGGGATTAAAGGCATGCACCACCACCTGGCTATAACAAACAATTCTTAGTCACCATGTGAGTGCTGGAAATCAAACCTGGGTCTTCTGAAAGAGCAGTCAGTGCTCTTAACTGCCTACAGCCATCTCTTCAACCCCACGCATGGGCTTCTTAAGAACCTGTGAGATCCTCTGTGACCAGGGCCAGAAGGGATATGTTCACACTGTCCGGGGGCCTTGGGGAACCTCCTAAGAGAAACACTGAGCCTCTTGCCCTGTGGGATTGCCCGTTGGAATGCAGGCTGCCTTTGCTTCATGGAGAGAGCCCCCCCCCCCGCCCTAGCCGTTCTGCAGGTAGTGTCCCCTACTAGGTAGGTAGTCACTCCTGCCTGTCATTTGTCATGTGCTTTTTCCAGGCCACTGAGTATTATCAGGCTTGGGGTACTCGGCTCCTTCCAGTCCAGACAGCCCCAAGACTACCTTGGCCATCTCCCCACTCCAGCACAGCACAAGCTGACTTTCCCAGCTCTGCTTTACTGGTTCCTTCTCTGAGGATCGTAGTTGTGACTTTGTGATCCAAAATGAATCCCAAGGCATGGTCACCTTCCTCTCAATGCCCCTCGGCAGGAGCTTGCCATAAAGGATGTGGCTGCCTCTGCCAGAGACTGTTCAGTTTTCCCACCTTTGAAGTCAGGCTGTCTGCAGGGTGAACTGTGGTTGTCTCAAAGACTTCATTCTGAAGCCAGAAATACCAGCATCTCTGAAATGTGACAGCACGGGAAGTTAGGGCAGGGGGCACTTGCTCTTTCATGTCCCAGAAGTGAAAAGTGGCCTGCAGCTACGGGATGCCTGGGCATCATGTGGCTTTAGGGGCCAGCCATGGCTCAGCCCACGCCATCAGACTTGGGATAAGGCCCATGTTGTAGGAGGCAGACAGCTGGAATGAATGTGGCAGTGTGAGCCCTCTGAGGCTGAGGACACTCAGGACACCCAGAGTCCTGTCTCATCCTGTATGCCTGTAACAGTACACCTGAAGGCATGAACACAGTTTGTTCACCAGTTTGAAAAACGGTTTGGCCAGATCTACTAAATCTAAAGATAGACCTCGTGCCTGCATTCCATTGGTTGGTAACATTCAACATAAGCACATGCCTGCGTGTGTCGATGATGTCCAGCAAGACCTGCCAACAGCACTCATCAGGATAAGGTTGGCCACAAGCTGCCAAGTGTCCTGCATGACTCACATGATAAGACACCGCAACCTGAATGCTTTAGTTACCCGGATAGCAAGGTGACTCTTGGTGTGAACACAGAGTATAAACTGAAAGATGCCATGCCGTGTAATGTTCCACGATCAACAAAACTGATAGTGCTAAGGCCCAACACAACTGATATAAATTGTATTTTATTTATTGATTTGGGAATGTAGTCCTGACCATGCTCTAACATTTGTTGGTGGATGCTCACATAGTTCATGTGGACTTCCACAGTGGCTGTTGTATATGGGCACCTTATGACCAGAAAGTGCCAAGGCAGGCGAGAGAAAGAGCAGACGTCTAGCCGGTGCACACCTTTAATACGAGCACTGGCAGCAAATCGCTGTCCGGGACCAGCCTACTCTACCTGCGCTACCCCGCGAATTCCAGGCCAGCCAGGGTTCCATAATAGTGAGAGCCTGTCTCAGAAAAACAAGAATGGGCTTTTAACACTAGTATCACAAACGCTTTAAGTGCAGTCGGGCTAATTCCTGCCTCTAATTCCACTGCTGGCTTTCTTATTTTCTTCACCTGCATGGAAGGTTGTGCTGATGAGAAAGCTGCGGGTGCCATGGAGAAAGCCCAGCAGCGGCTAGAGGTGGGCTGGGGTGGGTTGGCACCACCCCTGCCTGCTGTCCTGACCACTGAATAGTCACATGCCCAGCTACTGCCCACAGAGTCTACTCTGATGTAGTTCCTGGCTCCAGGGCTGCCATGTGCTCCACAGAGGAAATGGGACTTCTGGGAGGAAGGGTTGTACCCTGGGGAGAGGAGGGATTCGGGAGTGTCAGAGAGGCCATAACTAAAGAATGCTAGTGGATAGCCCCAGGCTCCCCTCTACTCAGCTCCCAGGAAGTGACAAGCTTCCTGCCACACCCAGAACTGTAGCTAAAGGAGGCTTTAGCAATCTTGGGGCCTTGAAGGATATGGAGAGTCGTTAACCCTGCTGTCATTGATTCTCAAAGTTCTCCGTTCAGCCTTGAATTCAAGCTACCTTGACCTCCGTAGCTGAGTTAATAATGCTCTATGTACACATCCCCCATTTCAGATAGAAGTGTCACTGCCCCTGACATGGTGGTGAGGGTGGGAGTCGGGGTGCCCAGTTCACAACCCGTGACTGTGCCCGAGGCAGAGCAGCATGAGAGGGAGGAGGTCGAAGACAGCTCAAGAAAGTGGCGCAGAGATAGGTTTGGAGGTTTAGGTAGGGCTACACAGGGCAGGTCCTGGTGAGACTGGATGCCTGGAAGGGATTTGGTGAGTCTACGGGGGCTTTGAACACAAAGGGAAACGCAGTACCCTGTGCTGGAGTCTGGAGCCAGGTTCTCCAGTTTCTGGGTGCTGCTTATGCCCCCTAGAGGCAGTCCAGGGTGCTGGGGCACATGCCCATCATGTGGCCACCCTGAGGAGGAGGGGTGAGTTAAAAGATTCAGAGAAAGGCTCCATTCTTCCCCCGACCTCAGCCCACCCTGGCTTGGGGGAGGCAGGGGACCAAGAAACTGGGAGGTGCTAAGTTTAGCAATGTCTCTATCCGAGTCACTTCCCAGGAGGAGGCAGCGAGGGCAGCAGAAGGCTGGGCTCCTTTACACAGGTAGCGAGACTTCATGAGCAGAGCTCAGGGTCTCAGCCAGGAAGCGTCTAGACTCTGCCTGTGCCATGCGAAGGCTGACCTGTCCGGCCGGAAAGAGGGCAAGTGTGAAGGAAAGTTGGAGAGCGCCCAGATGGAAAGAGGCAGGGTGTGAGGAGCGTCAGAGACCCCTGATGACACCATGAGCCCAACAGGACACTGGGAGGCTGATACCACCTGGAGCTGAAGGCTCCCCTGACTGCTTCCTACTTCCTGGACAAGACTATGCCCACTCAGGGACCCCAGAAGAGGCTTCTGGGTTCTCTCAACTCCACCTCCACAGCCACCCCTCACCTTGGACTGGCCACCAACCAGACAGGGCCTTGGTGCCTGCAGGTGTCTATCCCAGATGGCCTCTTCCTCAGCCTGGGGCTGGTGAGTCTGGTGGAGAACGTGCTGGTCGTGATAGCTATCACCAAAAACCGCAACCTGCACTCACCCATGTATTGCTTCATCTGCTGTCTGGCCCTGTCTGACCTGATGGTGGGTATAAGCATCGTGCTGGAGACTGCTATCATCCTGCTCCTGGAGGCGGGGGCCCTGGTGACGCGGGCTGCCTTGGTGCAGCAGCTGGACAATGTCATGGATGTGCTCATCTGTGGCTCCATGGTGTCCAGCCTGTGCTTCCTCGGTGTCATCGCCATAGACCGCTACATCTCCATCTTCTACGCCCTGCGTTACCACAGCATCGTGACACTGCCCCGGGCACGACGGGCCATCGCGGGCATCTGGGTGGCCAGCGTCTCCTTCAGCACCCTCTTTATCACCTACTACAATCACACAGCCGTCCTCATCTGCCTTGTCACTTTCTTCCTCGCGATGCTGGCACTCATGGCCATTCTGTATGTCCACATGCTCACTCGAGCATGCCAGCATGCACAGGGGATCGCCCGGCTCCACAAGAGGCAGCGCTCCGCCCGCCAAGGCTTCTGCCTTAAGGGTGCCGCCACCCTCACTATCCTTCTGGGAATTTTCTTCCTATGCTGGGGCCCCTTCTTCCTGCATCTCTTACTCATCGTCCTCTGCCCTCAGCACCCCACCTGCAGCTGCATCTTTAAGAACTTCAACCTCTTCCTCGTTCTCATCATCTTCAGCTCCATCGTTGACCCCCTCATCTATGCTTTTCGCAGTCAGGAGCTCCGCATGACACTCAGGGAGGTGCTGCTGTGCTCATGGTGAGCAGGGAGGTGGCTTTTGTTCTCGTGGCCAGGGCGCTGGGCAGAGGGTGACAGTGATATCCCGTGGGCCCGCATCCTGCAAGACCACAGGTACTGGTCTCTATTTGTCCAAGGGCGCATTAGATGAACTTTAAAATAGAAACACAAACTGCCTGGGGCCAGGAGGAAGGGTAAATGTGACTGCAGGATCATCCAGGGTAGCTGTGGGGAATGAAAGAAACGGGATGGGAATTCTAGCTCCAGGCAAGGGTCAGGTCACGGGCTCCTGAAGAGACTGCCCCTACCTCTGGGGAGCTTCACCTCTACTCAGTGACTAGCCCCCCCCCCCCCCAACTCCTCAGGTCACTCAGGCGGGCCCTCTACTGCCGGGATGAACAGGAAGTTTCTGAATTAAAAGAATGACAAGAGCCGTGAAGGAGCCCTGCTCCTGGTGAGGGCTTCTGAAAGGGGAATTTGTGACCAGGAAATCCAGCCATAGCCGTGCAGTAGGCTGTTTAAGCAAGCGAGGCCCTTCCTCAATAAAGGGACCAGCATTGCAGAACATGCATCTAGCACTAGAGGAATGGGACTGACCTAAAGACTAGTCATATGGTTCATGGCAATCCCGAGAGGTGGGACCTCTAGCCTCGGTAGAGGCCATTGGCTTATTAGTGGCACAACCTGTGGCTCTGAGCCAGAAAGCCATTGAAATGCTAAGTTCAGATGGAGCCTCATCACTATCTTCCCTAGCTCTGTCTGGAAGTTGCTTCAGGTTTGACTGGGAGAAGGGTAAGGACAGCAGTCAGGAAGAAGGGAGTCTCAGAAGCCACAGCTGCCTGCCTGAATTAGGAATTCACGGTCCGGAAGCACACCAAACACCCTAATCAGGCCAACTTGGCTTCCTCTGTATTACAAATGCCAGAACAGAGCAAGGAGCTGCAGGTTGAGAAGCCTCAACTTTACCTCTCTGGTGACAAGACTCTTCAGGCTCCTTCCAGTTCAGCCATACACTGCCGCAGGACCAGAGTCCCAGCCCCTGGTAGGGCCCACCTGTAACCTCGGCCAGAGCTTGCCCCTTTCCTGGCCTCATTCCTCCAACACCTTCAGCCATGGCACCACTGAGCTACCCTGAGGAGCCTGCAGCATAGCAGAGGTCAGGGGTTGGGGGTCTGTTTCTATTCAACATTGCCCTCCTGGGAGAGGCTGGCAGTGTCAGTGCTCTTAGACTGGCTCTCAGGATAGAGGATGGTGTCTAGGAGCTCGAGGGTATCTGAATCCCAGGGAGTGGCACATGGGGTGAGCCACAGTTCTTGCTGTGGAACGGCAGACTCCCCAAGCCCTTCTACTGCTACAACCTGGAATTCCTACTGCAGAGTCTATATTGGGTCCCCCACCGATGCTAAGCACTCAACTGTCCTCCTCCCTGGGGTGACCTCAGTCTGGCCTAATATGCCCTCAACCACCTCTGAGACAGGGCGTGGTGGCATCAAGCCAGACTGTAGCCGCACTATCAGCTCCAGCCTTGCTGGACTGAGGTTGGAAGCTGGTTCCCGGCAAGGCCAGCCTTTGCTGGAAGACAGGACCGTGAGTCAGCCTTTATCCTGGCACCATAGCTCTCTGGGGACACGGGGAGCTGGCCTGGCCTGATGTCATCTGACAGGGAGGCAGCCCAGGCCTCCGAATGCTTCCAGGCATCTTCCCTGTCCAGACAAGGAGACAGAGCCAGATGCTCACCCAGGACTTCTTGAACCAGGCCAGCTGGAAACCAGCTACAAAAAGCCACATCATGGAAACACTGTGGGGGAGGAGCATCTCTTGAGAACAAAAGACCCACTTCTAAACTCAGCGAACTCAGAAGCTTATCCTCAGAGAGGAGCTGTACACAGCCACTGTATCCAGCACACGCCCGTGCAAACTGGACAAAGGCACCAGCAGATTGTTTTTAGCTGATCTTGTGAAATGAATGTTTTTGGACCATCCATGTGTGGTAGTACTGTCTCAAACTCTTCCAGAACTTTTGCCATTGAAAGATCAAAAAGTCCCCACGAGGTGTCACTGGCCATAGATGAATATTAAATCAGTGTTGTATATGAACACATTGCATGTCTTCTTCTGACCATTTGGCTCTTCCTCCCAATGGGTCCCCTCCACACACAGTCTCCTTACCTAGTAGCTCCAGCTCACTCCACGCCCCCTTTTTGCCCTCACTTGTACCAAAAGTGAAAGGGGGGGGTACCAATGACATCAGGGACAGCTCAGGCAGAAAACATTGTTCAACATCCTCCACCGACTGGCTTGTATCTCCTTAAGTGAATTTTCCACGCAGATATTCATGAAACGGGGTTACTTGCCAGAAACTGTGCATCCTCGTATCCCAGGTACATCTGCACCCTCACGCCAACCCTTTGTGGAGCAAGGGACTGGTAGCCCTCTCTCCTCCAGAAAACAGTGACCTCAGAGATCCACCACTCTCCTGACTTGCGTTCCCAGTTCTGCGCAGAAGTATCAAGGAGGCTCCAGCTTTCCCAAGCTCGCACACCCCTAGGAACCCAGCAAACTTAGAGAATATGGGTCTTGATTCTTAAGTACGTGAGAGTAAAAAATACCTTCTTCACAAAGCTGCAGGGTGGGGTTGGGGCAGGGATGAAATGGGGAGGGTAGCTATTGGGGTGGGGCACTGAGGAGCCTGGGCTCTCTATTGTCCCCAGAGCCGAAGGCCCTCCGGTGGCCCCTCCTCCGAAGGCGCGGCCAGACATGCTCCGCATTGTATGAGCGGATCTCGATGCGTGGTGCTGATGCTGCAGAGCCTGCCGCATTCTGCGGCAGCGCCTCAGCATTGGTCGGCAACACTGACATCAGCTAGCGAGGGCGGGGCAGCCTCTTATAAGAGGGCACGGCGGAGGCCACCGATCCTCCGCAGCCCGCTGTCCGCCTGCTTCTCAGCTCAAGCCATTTGAAGTCAGCATGAGGGAGATCGTGCACATCCAGGCCGGCCAGTGCGGCAACCAGATAGGGGCCAAGGTGAGGCTGAGCCGTCCGGCGTCCTGCGTCCCCTCGAGAGCCAGCCCCGGGGGAGGGGGGAGAAAGAAGCTGTTCTGGGAGCCGCTAGCGGAACAAAGGGAAGAGCCCAGCCCCTTGCCCAGCCCCTTGCCCGGCTCCTGGGACCCTGGGATCCCCAGTCAGCTCCCCTCACTCGCGTCACTTTGCCCCGCACCTAGGTTGCTGCGGACAGCTAGCGGCAAACCCTTCTGACTCTCACTTCCATCCATTCTGCTCACCCACACACACCATGGCTCCAGCAGGTACAGTGGATGTGGTTGGGGGCGCCGACTGGGCGTGGCCTTCTTTGAGACTGCCACTTAAGCCTTGAGTAAGATGGGTGTGTGGAGCAACTTTGGGTGGGGCTCTCCCCTAAAGCCATAATGACTGTACATGCCCGAACCCCTACTGGAGAACTGGACGGTCTTCAAGAAGTAAGGCCGCCCTCACCTCCTCAGCCTAGCTCAGAGCACCCTCAGCTTCCTTGCCCCACCCTGTTCCTTTGTTGGAGGGGTTGGGCCTGGACTCCGATGACCTTGGTCCAGAACTGGATTCTCCCTATTTTTGCAAATCTCCCGTCTCTAACTGCCCCCTCCCAGAGCCTCCCACTGGGGATTGAGCAAGGAACAAAGCCGACTGCAAAGGAAGGCCTGTTTCTCCTCCATTGTTAGCCCCCGACCAGGTGTTGAAGCTTAGGCGGAAAAAAAAAAAAGAAAGAAAGAAAAAGGGGGGGCGGGGTTGGTGCAGTGACTCTGCAGCCCGGCTGTGCTTAGTGAGGTAGCTGTCCTGTTTCCACGCCCTAGGATTCCTTACTCAAGGTCACACACACAGCCAGTGGGAGACAGAACTGCTTGGTCCCTGCAGAAACCCAACTTGGGATTGGGTTGGGTCTGGGTGGGTGGGGTCAGCTACCTCCTTCTTCTCCCTTCTGAACTATTGTTTGAGCTCCATATTTGAGATGGGGCTTTGTCCAGGCGGATGCTGGACGCTGGACGGGGCTCGGTGTATAGCTAGTTCCCAAAGGAGGAGGTGGGGTAGACAGGTCCTGGAAGGGAGGGGACCGAAGCAACGATTACCTCTGGAGGCTGTTGCCATAGAAACCGGGCAGGAACAAAAAGCTAATTACCATGGGCTGGGGCGGTCACGTGGCTGACATGTAAATTGCAAGTTTGGCTCTAGGGTGGAGGTTCCTCTAGTTAGGGGGGGGGAGGGAAGCAGCGCTAGGGAGGCTCCCTAATCACCGAGGAGACAGCTGTTCCTATTCTAGAGAGGAACTTGGGGAGGGGGCTTGCAGGGGAAGCCCAAGATCAAATCAGGACTCCTGGGGTAATCACTGACAGCTGCCCTGGCCTGAAGGGAGGGTGAGCGCGCATTAATGTGGTCACAGGTGCCAGGCCTTCCGCGAACATCTGCGCCTGGACAGGCCGGGGGTGAGTGGGGGAGGGGAGCCTTGGGATCCCAAGGCCAGTTGGGTGGTTCTCCCGTGCTGGAGCTGGTGCTGTACTGTGCTCGCACGGGCTCCCAGGCTCCCGTTTAGCAAGGGCCTGGAAGTCAGGTCCGTGCCCAGACTCGGTCCATCCCAGGAACGTGAGCTTGAGAAGAGGCCCTAGCGCCGGACTCAGCTGAGCTTGATCTGCTTCTCAGCACTATGGCCCTTAGGTTTCCCCTTTTTTATTCTCTTGAGGCTTTTGTTGTTTTGTTGTTGTGGTTTTTTTTTATTACATGTTTTTAAATTTTGAATACCTGATCCTTTTTTAACAGTGCAAACAATGAGTAAACTATCTGGGCAGGCGTGTCTTCCCTTCCCATTGTCTCCCTGCGTGGGCGTAGTAGTCAGTACAAGGCCCTCTGACCTAGAAGCTCTCCCAGAGACCCGACAGAAGGGGCTGGTCAGTGGATTGACTCACTTAGCGACGGCCCCAGGCCATTTGAACTTCCTTGGCCAGACTTACTTCCTATTTTGCAGCTGGCTTTAGGGTCCCTGGTGTTAGCTGCAGCGGGAAAAGTTTTCCCTGCCACCTGAAGCAGCTGAGGGAGTGAACACCAAGGGCTGGTTTTCTGCTTGTGGGTCCTTGGGTGGTGCCTATCCTGGCACCAAGGGCCACTGGCTTCAGAGAGGCAACAGGGCAGAGGTGTGGGTGGCACAGAGGCAAGAAGTGTGAGGCCAGGAGGACATGCTTGGAAGCAGAAGAAGGGGTGCCTGAGATGAGCAATGCATCAGGTCACCGCCTCCTGTGAGTGAAAACCCTGGGCCTGCTGCACATTACGCCCTGGGTGTGTGTGGTGTGGGTATCACCCTCCCTTAAGGCTGAGAAAGATGAAGATTCTAGATGTTGAGTCACTTGCCTCGGATCACACAGTGGATTGGAGCAAGGCAGGAATTTTAGTATAGGTGTGTGCAGATGTGTCAAGGTGGGTGGTGACATGTGCCCCCACCTAGGAGCAGAAATGACTGGGCCACCCTTTTTGTTCCCTTTGCTGGGACCTGGGATCCTAGATTCATTCTCCTATAAAGGGGTCCCCTGGAAAATATCTTTATGGTGCCTTTGTCTACAGTTCTTGTGTGTGCCCCACTGGCTGCTGAGTATCACCCCACCCAAGCAGGAGCCTTTGGAGGGTTTGACCCACCTGAGCACCAATGGGCCTGGCAAGTTCTCGTGGAACTGAATATCTTTGGGGGCTCATGGATCTCCCTGCCAGACTCATGCATCCCAACTCTGTTTGCACTCATGGTCCACTACCCTGCTGTCTTCAGAGGCCCGCGCCCCAAGAGGGTCAGCACCGCGGACAGCAGCACAGTGGTTTGCCGGCTGGAATCTGGAGCCCAACAGACGTTTAGATTGGGCTGGCAACACCTGGTGGTTTCTTCTCTGTAGTGATGCTACTTGATCTAAATAAGTCTATTCATTTAATTTAAATAAGTCTATTAATTTACTTATTAAATATTCTATGTAGAATATTCTATGTATTCTATTATGTTGTTATATGTTAGCCTCTTAGTATGTAGCCCAGACTGGCCTTGAACTCATGATCCCCCAGCCTCAGCCTGCTAAGTACCGGGTTTGCAGCCCTGTACCATTGCAGCAAGGAATATTTTATTCTGAATTACATTTTATTACTTTTAATCTACAAAAGCAGTTGTTGGCTGGAGATGTGGCCCAGTAATCAGGCATTAGTTTGTTTAGCATGCAAGCGGCCTCGAAGCTGATCTCCAGCAGAGTGAAAAAAGCAGAACCTGAAAACTGCAGAGAACTGAGCACGCTGCTGCACATGCGCAGTATCAGCGACCCGAGAGGCCAAGGCAGGGAGATGAAGGTTGCTTCGGCTTGGGTGACGGATCAAGAGCCTTGTTTCAGTTTTGTGTTTCTTTGTTTGGTCTACAGGGTGAGCTCCAGGATAGCCAAGACTACACAGAGAAACCCGGTTTCAAAACTAAATAAATAAAATGAAAAATAATAAAATTAAAGCTAACATGCACGTGACAAAACTCTAACAGCACCAAAGGGTTGACAGTGAAAATGCTCTTTTTCTCAACCCCAAGACCCCGTCCCAGGATGTCTCTAAAACATCTAAATATAGACAACACTTGTAGTTTGTTTCCTAAGCTGCTTTCAACCCTGAGCAATCTTTTTCTCCACACGACTCCCAGGTAGAGGTCTTTCGTTCCTCTAGGCCTTTATATTGTTAACTTATCTGCAAGTCTCTCGAGCTCCTAGCAGTGATGAAGGGTGTCTCAGCCAAGGTGGCTGCTGCTGGTCTGGTACTCTGTGTGCCCTGATGAAGTGTCTTCCTTCCCGGGCCCCCAGGACTATATAACAGCGATGACTATCTGTTGCCTTTACTCCTATGCTCTATGCGACTAACTGTGTTGGCACAAGACCCTGTTGTCCTGGAGCCAGGCCAGTGTATGGAGGACACTGACGAGCATGATGGGCCCTTGTGCGGCCACTGTGGACTCTGATTCTTACTCCTTGCTCTGTGCTGTCTTGCCCTGCTGAAGTGATAGTGGCAGTGGC